GGGGGGCCGAGACGCGCGCTCAGGCTGGCAGCGCGCTCAGGCTGGCAGCGCCGCAGCAGCTCGTGCTCTTCTCTTGCAGCTGACAATTGATGCGCCGATGGCTGACACTTCTCCAGCAGTTGACGACGAACTAGGTGACAAAGCACGCGATTCATGGCGTCACTCTCATGGCATTCGTGTCATGAGGGGAGAGGGGGTGGGTGAGGTATGAGCCCAAGGCTCGGACGAGTCAGCTGCGTGTCTCCCTCCCATCATGATGTGGTTGTTCAAAAATGTGTTCTCCATAGGCTTGCCGACGTACGCTACGCCACTGGCCCAAGTTACGCACTGAATGAAGAACACACTCACGAACACTTGCATGCACGCCACGCAGACAGACATGGACGCACGCATTCAGGGCCTACACAGAGTGATGATACTGTACTGTCTTGCCTGCAGCCAGGTGGGCCTCCATGTCGATCTATCCACTGGCCTTCCAGTTTTCCTCCCCGCCTTGCTCCCTTTTCTAGTAGCACCTAATTAGCTCAGTTGCGACCCACACAGCCAGCAGCCAGCAGCCAGCAGCACCAACCAACCAACCACCACGGCAGCACGATGCCATGCACGACGTAAGGAGGAGTGAGCAAGGGTTTCCCTCGCGCCAGTCAGTCAGTCAGTCAGCCAGCCGGTCAGCGGTGTGTGTGGCTGTGCATGCATGCCATGCATGTGATGGTCGCTAACAGTACACTCAATCAAACAACAATCATTTCATTCACTTGGGGCAAAAACACGCACCGCATGGAAGAAAGAAACGTACACGCGTGCACAACACCGACGGCATGAGGCAGGCGCATACACGACGAGGAGGGAGGCAACACATGGCGCCCCCGCCCCGCCCCGCCGGCTCACTCGCGCCTCTCTGCTCCCTCCCCGACCGATACAGGCAGGCGGGGAGGCACAAAATGAATACTGTCGACTCACTCACTGAAGCTGCACAACCACACAACAAACACCCAGGTCGACGGTGGGCTGGCCCACGTCACCTCGGCCAGAGAAAGCAATCACCGACGACAGACAGACAGACAGACAGCTCCCCGCCCCCTTTTGCTTCCTGGCTCCCCGCCCCACCCCGTCCCTCGTATCCTGGTCTCTTTCCCCCGTAGTGGACCCACCCATCATAGTACGCAACGCACTCCACGGCTGCATGCCATGCATGGCTGGGTGTCCGTACGTACACGAACAAAATCGACGAGAGGAGAGGCCAAGGGGCAACCAAGCAGCCAACCATCACCCGTCCACCCATCCATCCACTTATCCGGCTGAATCACTGACGACGCAGACCACATCACGCCATGCACACGACCGCAAGCAAGTGGTATGGCATCCTCCTCCCTCCATCCCTCCCTCCCTCCCTGCGGCATGTCAGTCACTGAAGGAATGAGCAGGCGCGTATGGGAAGCTACATGCACCCATCGCACACGTGCCATGAGAACACGGCTGGCAAAAGACCCGGCCGACAAATCACACATCCGTCCCGCGATCGGCCAATCAGACAGACAGACAGACAGACACGGATAAGAAAGTGAGCTGGCAAGTAAGTGAATGGGTCACTGACTACGTACTGCATGCCATGCACCACACAGACAGACAGTGGCTGGTGGGTGGGTGGGTGTGGGCAGGTCGGTGGGGGTGTGGGGGTCGAGTTGACTGACGGTGTGGGGCACGTCCTTCTAGCTAGCGACAAGTGAGTGAAACTAACTCATGGGGGGCTTGGTGGGTGCACTGACTGACAAACGAATGTTATCCATCATCACTGATAGTATCGATCATATGATAGGCTGTCCATCTGTCTCACTCGAGCAAGCAAGCAAGTCGCCGGGCGGACAGATGGACAGGTGGACAGGGAGGGGAGAGAAGCGAGCGATGGGTGGGTGAATAAAACTGTGTGGCGGAATGGGATGGACTCACTCACGCGCACACGTACAAGGCAGACAGGCCACGAACGTACCAGCAGGACACATCTACCTACCGGTTCACACGTGTGTATGTGTCTGTGTATGTGTCTGTGTGGGTGCGTATGGGTCATGAAACTAACTAACTCACTCTGGCGAGGCGATAGATGGGATGCATAGTGGATGGGATGATGGGGCAACAGGTAGGTCAAGGAATGTATGCACCTCCCAGCCCAGCACCAGCAAGCAGTAGAAAGAAGGATGGGTATGGCTGTCTGTCTGTCTTATGTGTGTATGTATCTATCTATCAGTGTATGTGTGTGTATCTCTTATCTAGATATAGAGGTTGGTGTACAACGCCCTCTTCTTCTTCCGCTTGGTCGTCTTGGCGCCCTCCTTCCGACTTAACCTGGCCACAACACAACACACAACCGCACACACATCCAACCCTCACTCATGAGACGGGAAAAACACCGATCGAGCCCATACCACACGTACCTGGTGTATCCCTCTGGTATTTCAAACTCCTCGTCGGGTATCGGATTGTCGTCGGTGCGCAGCTCGAAGTTCTGGAAGGTGAGTGACGCCCTGATGGCCATGTTGAGGGGGATCTGGAGGCGCACGGGAAACATGTCGGGCGGCATGTACTTCTTCAACTGAACACACACACATACAAAGAAAGAAGACCGCAACAGACAGACAAGCCGTCGTCTTGTCCATGATGGTTGGTTGGTCGTTCGGTCAGGCCCTTTTCTTACCTCGTCGGACTGCAGGAAGTCTCTGACTTGTGCGATTGTCTTGTGCTGCAGGGCGAAGATGTCGAGGACCGGCATGAAGGCCTCCAACGTCAACGGAAACTCATCCGTCAAACATATCATCGCACTCGACTGCCGACAAGCAAACACGCACAAGGAGGACGCCAATTCAGCATCTGTGCTCGCAAGGCCCTGTGCTTCCTTCCGTCTTTTCCTGTCTGTCTCGGCTTCCTTCTTCATACCTTTCTGGGCAGAGTGCCCTTCATGTCGGGCCTTTCTGCCCTGACAGCCTCGGGCGCCTCCTCCTTGGCCTTTTTGTCCTTCTTCTTGGGCGCCTGACCCGATAGCAGCGCCGTCAGAAACCCACCGCTCTTGGCACTACCCGGACCACCACCACCACCAGAAGCAGCAGCAGGAGCAGCAACAGCACTACTTAGCCGCGTCTTGTCCCTGGACTCCCAGACGGCATCCTTACTCGTGGGGCTGGCCGCATCACTGACCGACGGCGGCCCGGCGACACCCGGTGGCCGCGATGCACCTGACTCGTCTCTCGCAATGGTTGGTGTGTGGGGCGGGTACGCGTTGATGACAGGGGGAGGGGGCGCCAGCTGTGGATGGGCCCACGAGAGGGGGGGGAGCTCGCCGAGTTGTGGCGGGAGGGACGAAGGGGGGAACTTGAAGGTGGTGGCCATTGCCCCTGATGCTGGCGGCGGGAGGGGCGCGAGGAGCGACGAATAAGGCACACCCGGCATATTCTGCGAGGCGTACTCCTCGTGCATCCGTCGGTGCAGCGCCAGCCGAGGGTCCCTCTCCTTACGACGATACAGCGGCGACGTCCCGGGCGACCCGTACGCGAGAGCTGGCAGGCCCATGGGGGCGATGGGCGGCCGACCCTCTGGCACCGCGCAGTAGGGCAGCGGGTCCGATGAGGCGGCCAGCACCTGTGGCGAGGCCTGGTGGCTGGGGACGCCCGACCGCCCGTCGATGACCCCGCAGGACGGGATGCTGTCGCTGACCAGCTTGCAGGACCGGATGTCGTCACTGCTGCTCTGCAGCTTGCACGACATCAGGGAGAACAGCCCGGGACTGTGGTCCTGCTGCTGCCCACGACGAGCACTTGGAGGGGCCCCGAACACCTCCCCATCGAGGCCGGGGTTCTCGGCAATCGTCCGCAGGATGGACGCCGGCAACCCGTGACCGCCATCCTCATCCGACTCGGCCGTGGCAGCGTTGATGGCCGGCCGAAAGTCAGGCGATGGGAAGCCCCCTGACCCCGCCTCGTCCTTGTCTCTCCTGGGCGACTCGTAGCTGTTGTAGCGACGAAAAGGGAGAGACTTGGGGTGGGGGTGGGGGTTGGAGGCTGACCGGGGATGGGGATGGGGGCCGGCCTTGGCCTTGCGCCGGATGTCTGGTGGTGCGGGTGCGGGGGGCGTCATGAGGGGGTCCATGCGGGGAGTGACAAGAGGGGTGATGCACTCGTGCATACGGCTGCCCGGCATGGGACGCTGCTTCTTCTTCTTCGTAAGAACCACTATTGGCACCGGGCCACAGTCACCCGGCATCTGACCACAGACAGACAGACAGTCAAAGTGCACTTTGCAAACCTCGTGTGGAGTCAGCTGGAGGCGCACAGTCGTCCGTCCGGCGTACGTACCTTATTGACAGCCTTAGTCTGTCTGGGATGAAAAGCAGGTCTCTCAGGGAGCTGTGTGGCCCACGACCTTCCCGTAGTGGATGCGTCCGACAGGACGCCGTTTATCTGGACCACCGACACGGCCGGCGTGATGGCTGGCTCAGAGACGGCCGTCTGGTGTGGGCTGGCGTCGCTGGGCGGCGGGCCGCGAGGCGTCTTCTCGCGGCTGTCAACCGCGGCCTTGTCCGACACCACAACGACATTCGCTGTGCGCACATTGTAGTCCTGAGGTCGGTAACCTAAGTACGTACAACACAAGAGAAGGAAGGAAGCAACCATGTCCGTGTGTTCCCATCTATGTGGGTCCCTCCTCCTGAGCTCGTTTGTTTCGATGGATGCGATGCTGACCTTCGTTTTCCGGTCCACTTTCTTCGTTGCGCTCCATTTCAGAGCGGCTATCCTTCTCCTCGCTCCTGCCCGCCCCCCCGCCGATCTCCTCCTCTCCCGTGAGCGACCCCAGCGACATCGACGGCAGCGCGCCCCGCGTCAAGGATGAGGGGCTGGCCACCCCCACGCCCATGCCATTAGGCAGCGGAAAAGTCGCGTCCGATCCCGCAAAGCCGGCAGGATGTGACTGCGACTGCGAGTTGGTGGGTGAGGTGTGCTGGTGGCTGGGGGGGAGGGGAGGGAGGTCTGGGAGGGACAGCCGGTGGGCCTGGCTCTGCAGCCTGATGTCCTCTTTGTAGTTGTAGGATGTGTCAGACGGACCGCGGAAGGTGGGCATGTCGGAGGGGTCGGATCGGTCGGACCGGTCGGAGTCCGGCGGGCTGGGGGGGCAGCCGTCCACGACCTCCTTGGGACGGTCGAACGTATCAAACGCCTGGAGCAGACAAACAAGCACAGAGCACCGCAATGCGCCCTTGCATTGCACGTCGTCTGTGCCTCCCCGTCTGTCTCCACCTCTCCCTCTCACCGTGTTTGGGTCGATGGTGATTGGCTGTTCCTCGTCGTAGTCGTCGTCGGAGTCGCTGGCCATGTCCTCCCAGTACCGGTCGCCAATGGCCGACACCTCATTAGCCGTCTCACCGTACCGAATGATGCGGAACGAGTAGTCGCCCTTGATGCCATCGAATGGCTTCCGCTTCTTGGGGGGCGCCTTGGGGCCGAGTGAGAGGGGCGGGATGGTCTGCAGCCGAAGGCGGTCGGCCACTTCGGGTGGACAGGCGCGTGGGGGGAGGGGGAAGCCGAAGTACTCCTCGAAGCTCAACCGATTGCGGCGAAATCCCTTCTTGCGCACCTGCAGGTCACCAGAGGCACGACACAGTGGATAATTTGGAGGTAGATAGTGATTGGCACCATACATACCTTGAGCACGATGGTGCCTTTGAGGTCGATCCTTTTGGTGTTCCAGGGCCCGACCTTGGGCTGCAGCTTGGCGCCGAACAAACTCATGCTATCGGCTACCTGCAGATCCTCTAAACGAACATCACCCTGAGCAACCAACACAACCGATGCATCAATCCATCAGGTGTGTCTGCCTGCCTGTTCCTCCCTCCCTCCCTCCCTCCCTCCCTCCCATATGATGTGCCCTCCCTGCCTACCTGTATGGGGTCGGCCTTCATGAGGTCCTGCACCATGACGTCTAGCTCCTCATCGTCGGCCTCCTCGTCAGGCACCACATAGGTCGCCTTGTTACGATTCAACATGTAGATCTGAATCGACGGATCCAGACCCCCGCCCCCACCATCACCATCCACGTCACCCTTCCCTTTTGGGTCGTCATGCGATCCCCGGCTTTGCCTCGACGCCGTGCTGTCCCGCGACTTGGCGGCGAACCCTGGCCGTCTCTCAGAGTGGGGGGCGGAGGGGGAGGTCGTCGTGCTGGCATTGCTGCAGTCGCCACCAGACACGTTTGACGGTGCCTGTGTCCTCCTGGGGGGCTTGATCTCGCGCTGCTTGCCGGTGGGTGGCGACTCGCTCGCCGAGGTGTCGCCCTCGTTGCCTTGTTGGGGTGGCTCCCGCGCTGCCTGGCCCAGCTTGACCAGGGTGGTGATGGGCCGCCTCTTGGTGCCCCGGAGCGGCTTCCAGCTGACGAACGTGCTGTCGAGGCGAAGGCTGGTGCCCTTCTTCCACATGCGGAAGGTGTCAGAGGGGGCGACCTTGTTGACGAATGGGATGACGGAGCTCTCGAGCTCGCCCCTGATCTCCAGGTAGAAGTCAGGGAGGATGGACATGGCCTGGACGAGCCCGGGAAGGTCCCGCCGCCACTTCTGCCGCTTGCCGTGCTGCATGGCGGTGAACACCTCGCGCACGCACTGACGGTCGCCCGACGATACCGCCTCGTCAATGGCCGTCCACCCCGACGGCGTCTTGAGCTGCGGGTTCGCCTTGTGCTTCAGCAGCATACTCACGATGGGCCGATATGCGTCGGACCGCTGCACCAGCTGGATGGCGAGATAGAGTGGCGTGATACCGCGGAAGTCCTTCTCGTTGACATCGACCCCCTCCGCCACCAGCTGCTCTATCTTGCCCAGGTCGGCCAGCCACACGGCCACGTGCAGCCGATCCTCCGGCGGGGCCACTGGGGCGGGCACAGAGGAGTCGTCCGTCTCCTTCTTGACGATGGGGTCTGCGTCAGTGGGCTCACTGGCGAGGATCTCCACTCGTGCGAGGGCCGGGCGAGGGCCAAAGGAGCTGGGGGAGCCCGAGCGCACGTGGCTGGAGATGGGTGAGTTGCCGGTGTATATCTCTGAGCGGCCGTCGCCCTCGCCTGCCCCATCGTCCGTGTGGGCGCCCATGTGCGGCAGCTCGGGCGAGCCTGCAAACGAGTTGCGGGGGGATGACGGAGAGCGGCGCATCTCCACCCGATCCTCATTCTGGTCAATGGGCTCATACTTGGCCTGGACGCCCCGAAAGCCGGCGAGCCGGTGGGACAGAGGCGGGTTGATTGCCGAAGGGTTGACGTTGCCCATGCGCACCCCTCTCCTCGCGCCAAATCAAACGCAGGCCTCGCTAGCCAGGGCGTGCCTGAGGGCTCACTCAGGAACCTCTCAACGAGTCAGTTGACGGGCTGGCAGCGAGCAGGCGGGGATAGCACTTCACCGATGTACCGCTGGCGCAGCCATGGCCATGCTGTCCAAGTTGTGCTTGAAGTTGCAAGACCGCCAGCCGCCTCTCGAAACCGTAAGACGCCAATTCGAGAATTCTCTCACCTCCCGTCAGCTGCGAATGCTCTCACACTTCGCTACTTCTTTTTCCGCACTCGGAAAAGCCAAGCTCGCAGATGGGATGAGCTCGCAGATGGGATCTTCAAGCTCGCAGCTGAAAAGAGGAGAAGGTCCGGGAGATCTGCCTATCGGCTGAGTCTGCATAGCCTCTGACACATCATGTCTGACCACGACGAGCATGAGGACGTTATGGAGGTCGAGGAGGCCGAGGAGGAGATCACCGACCTCAACGTCGCCATCAAGAAGGTCATCAAGAACGCCATGATCAACGACGGACTCGCCAGGGGTCTCAACGAGGTCGCACTCGCCATCGAGCAAAAAACCGCCAAAGTCGTCTTCCTCGCCGAGTCCGTTGATGAGGAGAGCGTCAAGAAACTCGTCGAGGTCAGCCAGGCAGGCAGGCAGGCAGCACTCAGGCAGACAGGCAGACAGACAGACAGACAGACAGACAAGGAGGCAGGGAGCCGCGGGAGATCTGAGGCTGCTCACCCTTCCTGTGTGTGTGAGTGTAGGCTCTGTGTTCGGACAAGTCGGTATCGCTGGTCAAGGTGGAGGACAGCAAGCAGCTTGGCGAGTGGGCGGGTCTGTGCAAGATCGACAAGGACGGCATGCCGCGCAAGGTGGTGGGCGCCAGCTGTGTTGCTGTCACAGACTTTGGCGAGGAGTCGGAGGCACTCGAGTACCTCAACAAACACCTCAAGGAGGCCGGAAACGAGTGATGGTTGATTGATGGGTGGAGGGACGTATGTACCTCCTGTCTGTGTGTGCGTGTGCATGTGCGTTGTGTGTGATGATACGACAGAAGATTGCGTGGGGTGCATGTTTGAATGAATGCGGCATAATGACTGACTGACTGACTGTTCGGGGACACCACCTGTCTGTCTGTCTGTCAATTGTCCCCCCACCCACCACGCTCGTCACCATGAGGTCCTTGAAGTGAGGAAGCAGCTTAAGGAGCTTCCCTACCCGCAGGCTCCTGGCCCCCTCGCTCCAAAGGACCGGAACACATGGGAGGTCGAGTGTTCTCACAGTGATGAATTTGTGTGTTCGACACGTGCCACTGTGCGAGGCCTTCGTCAATGCAGCTTGTGATGGGCTTCCTCTCTGCATGTAGATATATAAATGCGCGTGGGGATGACATGGTGTGTGTGTGCGCGGGTGTCTGTCTGTGCTGGAAAGCAATCCGCGCATTGTAGCAAATTGACGTCGAAATCAGCCAACCCACACCAGTACAGTTAACGAAAAGGTCAGGTCAATCACCCGAGGGGCAACGCTAGATGTATATATACACGCAGCCGACGAGCTGCTGGCCAGCTCACATGATAACACAGTCGCTCTGCTTCTTCCTCTCCACCTTTTCGTCATTCCGCCCCTTACCCCCCTTCATGGCCACCTGTTCTCGAGACTCGTCGCATCGACCCACTGGGCCAGCCCGCACGACCACAGCTGAGTGAGGGCATCCAGCCAGCCAGAACAAGAAAACAGACGTGAATGTGCGTACGTACGAACGTATTCACTCGTCCGTCCGCCCGGACGGCACGCGCTTACGTACGTACCTGTGCCACTGTTCTCCCTTGCGCTGACAGGCGCACCGTTGGCCGCTGAATGGAAACACATACACAGAGGATGGAGAGAGTGTCATCTACACGCACTTGGATTGCCGGTGTGTGTCCATCACCTCACTCACGAGCGTACCTTCCGACACGTCTGACACTTCTCTGTAGAAGACGATCGGTTTGGTCCGCAGGAAGCCCTCGCCGTCGGCAAAGAACTCGTCGGGTCTGTCGTCGGGGTTGACGCGAAAGTGGCCTTCGAACTGGATCTCCTGTGGCAGTGTGTCAGAATACACGTGGTACCACGACATCATCCTCTCTTGAACCTCCCCCATCGTCGCGCAGTCTTCCATCAAAGTAAGTACCCCCCTATCCCACGTCCGCTCCCGATACCAGCGCTTCGCCATCCGCAAGTGTCATCCGCTTCGATCAGGCGTCTGGTCGTCCCCCTTTCAGTTCAATGTCAGTCCGTTTGAATCTCTCAGCGGATGCGGTTTCAGGGGGCACCCTAGGCGCGACGGCCAAGCTGTAAAGGTGTGTCCTGCCTCCCTGTGGGATGGATGCAGACTGAAGGATCATTCCATCATGCAGGGATGATAGGCAATCGCAAAAAGTGGATGTGGACCAGGCGAGTGTCTGTAGCCCTCCCTCCGCGTGACTGACCCTACTGGACTGACCTGTGCGCCCCAGCAGCACCAGCCACACGATAATGGACGACATGATAGATAGATGGGTGGCGAACTGTCAATTCCACAAAGGCAGCAGGTGTGGTGCAAAGGAGTGAGGAATCAAACAAAACGCTACATACAACATTCACTCACACACCACACACACAGACGTGTCGACGGACAAGAAGACACAACACACAAATTAAATTGCTACCTTGCCTGCCTGGAATGGAAGTGTCACATGTTCCCACGTACACGAAAAGACAGACAGACAGACTGACTGACTGACCCGCTTTGTGAAAAGGAATGCCTTACTTAATTCAGTGAAGAGAGAGGGCCCTGAGAACGCAATCAATCGATTCACACCGACTGGTCAGTGTGCTGCTATGCTATGGCCACAGTATTCATTGCTTGACCACCACTGACCTGCCCAGTGTAATTGATGTAGCACGCAAAGGGGTTGGACAGCTTCGTCGAGTGGGTGGGCTCCCTGCAGGCAGGGGAACACGACACGCCCATACGCGAGGTAATTGACCGACCGACTGCCACTGACCATCCTTCGAGCCGCCTCAGTCCCAGGTGCTTCTCGACGGTCTCCTGCATCACCGCACCTAAGGAACGTGACCCACAACACAACACAGCACATGTTCCCTGACAGAGCAGACAGCCAACTGGCTGACCCGTCGCAGCGATGACTTTCCGGTACGACCTATCTTCTTGCGACCCGCACGGCCTCGCCAGATAGTCGATGGCAGCCACTGCCTTGCCGAAACACTCTGCAGTGAGGTAGGGCGGGTCAATCACGACCATATCGAACCCTAACCGCACACCGATGCGACTCATGCAGACACACACAGATCTATTGGCGCACTCACGCCACGCACTACTCCCCCGTGTCCTGTACGTACGTATGTACGTACGTACTTGCCTTGCACCAGCGGGGCAGCGCCTCAGGAGGCTGGAAGAGGTCGAAATGGACGAACTGCTTGCCGTAGACATCCCCGAACCGATTGTCGACTTCAAGCAGGTACGCCTCGAACGGCGCAGCCACCCGGCTGTCCGGCGCATCCCCCACCTCTGACCCTGCTGACCGATACTTACGCTGATTTCACACAGACAGACAGACAGACACCATGCCTTCCAAGTGCCTTGCACTGGGTCAGAAGCTCACATGGAAGGCTCTGAAGGCTGACGGCGTGCAGACGAATGCGGCGGCGTGTGTGCAGCTGTGGAAGACCTCGTCAGCAAAGGTCTCTGCCGTGTCGTCACTGTACCAGAACTGGCTGCAGAAATGCAAAGAACGACCCTCACTCACTGACTCACTGACTCATTCACTGACCTACTCAGTCGGTCACCTACCTGAGCCGGAAGTCTTCTTTGACGTGTCGCTTGCCATCCTCAGCCGCATCGGCGGTGTCGGCTGAGGTCTCCTGCGTCAGCTGCTGCTCATCGTAGAACCGAGCCAACGCTGCACACACACACACACACACACGCTCGAAGTAACGAATGAGTCAATGAATCAACAAGGTGACGGCACGTCATTCACCGACTCATACATACATGCATCAATCACCTTGCAGCGTTTCAGGCCTGAGCTCTGTCAGAAGGTTGTGTGCCTGCTGCCACGCCTGCTCCGCTGCAGAAGGGCTTTCGCCCTCGTCTTCACTGGCGCGGGACGCCATAGATGTTCACGATTGTCAAGTCACCAAGGAGATCTGCAGAGAACCACATCTCATCGGCTTGCTTTCCAGAGAGAGAAGCGCCGGTCGATCGGCGCGCCGGATCTTTCCTGCCGGCATTTCCCTCGTTCTGTGCTTGACTGTGCTCCCCAGAGGCTCCTCTCTCCCGTCATGAGGCAGATCTATGTCCTTCTTTGTTTGCTGGGCATCGCTCCACTGAATGCCGAGCCCAAGAAGGCACCTGCCCCTGCGCCCACTGGCAAGAAGGCACCAGCACCAGCACCATCGAAAGGTGTGTATGCATGTGCCTACGGCAGACAAGGCGGCATCAGAGAGAGGGAGGCAGGATGTATAAGGTCTTGTGCTGTGTGTCTCTGACTGTATGTGCAGAAGTGACATATTCTTGTCCGGATGGGTACGTTGAGGACGGTGAGATGTGCTCAAAGGTGATGGTCGTCGAACCCAAGCTTAGATGCGAGGTAAGGGAAAAGAATCGACGGACACATGCGAACCGAACGTGATGCGAGGCATCCGATCCGCCTTATCTATCTCGTTCAGGCAGGCACACTTGTCGACGGCGGCAGCTGCATGCAGGCTGCTTAGTAAGTCTCTCTCCACTCAAAGCAAGCCAAGCACCACACTGGGAGTGGAGTGCGATGCCATGCGTTTCTCTCTATCTCTGTGTTATCGGGATGGTGTGGTTTGTGTGTGCAGCAAGCCGGCAGATTACATCTGTGAGGGTGGGTATAACCTGACGGGCAACCAGTGTTACAGGGAGGAGTTCAGGGACATCATTGCGGAATGCGCCGATGAATACGAGGAGGTGGACGGCCAGTGTCGCATGGTCAAGGAGCTGGAGCCGGTCTACCGCTGCCAGCACGGCTACACCTACCGGGACGGCGCATGCGTCTCCACCAAATACGCCGCGGCTCAAGTCGGTACGTGACGCCCACCAGGGATGGACACTCACACCGACGACTCCGGCGAGGGATCTCACTCTGGTGTGCTCATCCATCCATCCATCGTTCCATTGGCAGGCTGTCCTGCCAACTACACGCTGCAGGCAGGCAAGATGAAGGGCTACAAGGGGCTCGAGCAGCGGGTGTGCGCTCGCAGGAAGTGCAAGAGGCACGGGGGCTGCCAGTGCAGGAGGTAGCTACAACATAGCTACAACAACATCGACCTCTTGTGTGTACACGCGACTGTTTGCGATGGTTTGCGGGCGATTGTGTGTTTGTGTGATTGCGTGACTGTCAGGTACAAGAACAAGAAGGTCGGCAAGAGGCAGGTGTGCGTGGCCGTGACCGAGAGCACCCCGGAATATGTCTGCGACGGCAAGATGGGTCACGGCCAGAAGTCGGCCTACCAGACCTGCAGCGCAACGCAGACCGTCACACGACAAAAGAAAGCTTACTGCACCACGTACGTCAGCAGCAGGGAGGAAGGGATTTCTGGATCCATCGTGACTTCCTTATGTGACGTGATTGATGTGCAGTGGTGTGTATCAGAACGGTATGTGTGAGACCTACGTCCCTGCTGACGCCATTTCCTCGTGTGCCGAAGGCGAAATTGGCTCAGACGGGTGCGCGCGCCCCAGAAACACAATGCCCAGACGGCGATCGAATCTATGTGTCCCTCTCAGGTATTGTGATTACACCAGGGAGGTGCAGGGCAAGATGATGTGGTGAGTGCTTCTTGATGCTTTCATCCATCCATCCATCCATCCATCCATTTTCCATCTATGTGACTGCCCCGCAGCCCCAAGAACAGCTATGTCAAAGAGGGACAGTGCTACACTAGAGTCAAGATTGAGGGATGCAAAGAGGGCAAGTGTTATGAGGAGCAACCAGTGGCGGGAAACGTCGTCTGCTCCAAAGGTGGCACCCCGACCGACGCAGGGACATGCCTTGTCACCTATAAGCAGCGACCCACCTACACATGCCCCGATGGCTACGACAGCCCCAGCAAGGTGTGCTGCGGACCCTTCATGTGTGACGGACCTCTCTCCATCCACTCACTGATTTGTTCGATCTGTCTGTCTGTCTGTCTGTTATCTGTCTGTCTGTCTGTCTGTTTTGTGTCAGGGTAAGTGTATGAAGAAGGAGCAGACGCCAGCAGAGACCACCGAGTGCGAGGCGGACGAGACGGACACCAGCGAGGCGTGCACCAAGGAGGTCGACACGTCGTATGCTGCTTACGTCATATGCCCTGACGGCTCCTACCTCAAGGGCCCCAGCAAAGGAGCCGAGGAGGTCTGCGTTAAGGTGAGCGAGGCAGGCAGGCAGGGAGGGAGGGAGGGACACAGGGAGACAGATGGAAACATGCGCAGGCGCACACACGCACCCTCCCTCGGTTGTGTCTGTGGTCGTATGTGTCTGTCTGTATATTGATCAGCACGATCAGGTGGCTCCCGTTTTTGTGTGCGCTGCTGACTACTCTGGCCCCAACGCACAGGGCCACTGCTTCCAGGAGACAGCCGTTGCAGGTAGGTACTTATGTGACAACCAGTGGCCAAGACGATGACATGTCCTCCATCATGACGCATGACATGATCTTGCCTCTGTCACGGCCGTCGTGCGATTGCTTTCTGCAGTTGACGTGTCATGTCCCAAGGGGGGCGAGATGACAGACGGCAAGTGCATGGTGGAGCACACGGTGGCCATGCAGCAGTCATGCGAATCCGGATACGTCATCAAAGGTAGCCTGCCTGGCAGGAAAGGCAAACGACACCCACACAAACGGTCATATCAAGATCCCTCCCTGTGTGTCCTGCCTGTTAATGTGTGTGGCGGGCGCCTCGTGCAGCTGGGCAGTGCGTGCGGACTGCCGTCAGGGCCGCCCAAGCGGAGTGTGCCGAGGGCGAGCTGAGACAGAGCCAATGCTACACCGAATCCATGATCGATGCCACCCCCTACTGTGAGCATGGATACACAATGGGCGATGACGGGCAGTGCAGCTCCAAGCACACGGTGGCCAAGGTGGCCGAATACCCCGCCGGCAAGGCACCGCCCACCCATTACAAGACATACGGCCACGGCCATGGCCACGGCGGCCACCACAGCCGCCACGGACGCTGACCTCACCTGGTGTGATTGGGAGGGGAGGGGGCTTTGGTTTGCGCGTTTTTGGGGTGTTTTCTAAGCCAAGATGAGACATACGACCGAGTCATTTTTCCTCCTCTGTCCTGGTCTGCTCTGAGTGTGGTGTGGCGCCATGGCTTGTTGAGTACGTACGTGCGCTTCATGCTGAGGGAGGGAAGGGAGAGAAAGGACAGATGGGGGATGGACGGACGTCTGTCCGCGTGTTCATCTGTGTGTGCCTTGGAGGGATGCTATGCTGAGACCGTTTGGTTTAGTTTGCCTGCCTGTGTGTCTCTTCTCGTATGGGCGTTGGTTGTGTTTGGAATGAATGCCTCACGTGGGCATCGAGGGAGGTGTTTCGTACGTGTACAGTCCGTCTAGCGCGTTATAGGCCTAGGCGGAACGATGCTGCCTGCTGTCGAGAGCTACATTGGCTGAGCGGCAGGGCATTATATGTGCCGCTATTGCAGCTGTTATGGGGATTTTTGTCTCTTGACTGCATATGGGTATCTCTGTCTCTGTCTCTGTCTGTCTGTCTGTCTGTTTGAATACATTCAGTGTGTATGTGTCATCAAGCCATGGTGCCACACCGCACGATTCTTTTTTCCTTCTTGCCCTGCCCTGCCCTGCCCGCCACTGTCTCCCATACCCATACGACTCGTTTTTGCTCACAACCGTGTCACACTGACACCCGCCTGCACAGTTTAACTACCTGTACCGTATCCATCCGTGCTATATACACACACCTACACTGTTTGTCGTGTCGTATCAGCTTCCTGACGGACATCGATGGCACCCGTCCATCCATCCATCCATCCCACTTTTCCCTGAGGCCACATCCATCCCATCCATGAGCATGACACTGACACGCACAGACAGACAGACAGACAGATGGATAGACAGACAGACAGGCACAAACAGTAAGTGCATGCGTAGCGTACGGAAGTACATATGTGCCCGGCTCCGCTCCCTTGCTGCCGGCCTGTCAGTGAAAGGTTCCTTCCTCTTTGTGTCTCTCTCTGTCTATCCATCCATATACACCCATACATACCATACACACATGGATGACGTATATGGATGTGGCGGGCCGTACGATGGATGGATGCACCACAACACGTGCGGTGCGACCAGCCGGCTATGTTTTGTCTTCTATCTGCCTGGTGGCGCTTACTGCGATGCGATCGGTGTTGTGGTCCTGTCATGCCATGATGCATGTCTCTATCGCTCTGCGTATCGTATCGTATCGCTCTCTGTAGTCGGGTGCCTTGTCCGGTCAGCAAGGATTTCAGAGAGACCGGCCGCACCCATTTGTTTGTTTCTGAATCGATTTATTCCAATCGTCGGTGCTCTCTCTTGCTCCTCTTGGCCCTGCCGTCACCAACAATGTCGGCAGACCAGTTTTGGGCCGTCTCTCGCACTCCATTCATTCACCAACCGCATTTGTTTGTCTGTCAATGTGGCAGAGAGTTGCGCTGTGCTGTGTGTGCATCGAACAGAATCTCCACATCCATCGCATTCACATTCTCTTCCTCATGTGTATGTGTGTGTTTCCATGGTGCTCGGTGTTTTGTTACTGTGGGGTGGAGGTTCTGTTTGCCTTTGTTTTGGTCCGTCTGTCTGTCTTCTGTTCCTTCTTCCCTGCCCCCCGGTGTCCCCTGAACTGAGTGCGTGCGTGACGGGTTGAGTGGGTCATTTGCCGTCTGGTTTAAGCTGCCTGCCTGCCTGCCACATATGACGCTCATTTTGTTGGTTTGATGGATGGGTGGCTGTGGATGTGGACAAGGACGTGAGACGGTCTGATGCCCTGTGAGCGGTTAAAGCGGACACACGGTTGTTGAATGGTACAACAGGCAGTCGAGTCTGTACACTGACACGCAGCACATGAGGTAGCTGTCGTCCGTATCAAAATCGTCGATCAGCTGCGGCGAAGCTGAGGAAAATGCACCTGTGAAAAATCAAAACATACGGCTGTCAAATCCATCCATCGATTCATCGATCCAGCTGGTCAGTCAGTCAGCCCGTCGGCTCTCTACATACAAGCACAGACACGTCAATCATATGCACACGCACAAGGGACGACACAAAACACACACCCCAACATACAACATCCTCCCCCACTGCGGTGCAACTGATGCACCAGCCATCATTCTGTACACTCCAAAACCATCCTCTCACCGCCACCCAACTTCATTCGCAGACAGAGACACTGTCCAGGCAAGGCCCCTCTGCCTCCCGTCCCTCATCTCATCTCAACTGGCAGCCAGTGGCCTTCTTGGCGCGATGAGGGCTGCCACCTTCCCCTTCGCCCCTTCCCCCTTCTTGTTCCTCGGTCCCCTGTCGATCTGCCCGGTCTCCTCCTCCTCCCGTTCCATCTGCGTATGCAGCCACGCGTTGATGAGCTCGTAAGACAGGAACAGTATCGCATTGTTGGGCACCACACGCAGCAGGTGCGTCCTGAAGCCGGCGTACAGGCCCCGCCTGCCCTCCTCTCTGGCAATGAGCCGCAGCGCCTGCAGCATGCCCGTGTATTTGTAGACGCCACCAACGGCCTGCTCGCGAAGCCGCGTACGGACCACTTCATGTGGGTAGGTGCACGATGTGGCCAGCAGCTTGGAGCACGCTGCGCTGAGGAAGAGCTGAGCGTTCTTGGGGAGAGGGAGGAGGGTGGATGTGCCGTTCGTGTGCATGTGGCTGTTGACGACCTTCTTGAGTCGCTCGTAGACCACCCAGTTGATGCAGCCCTCGGAAATGCCCCAGTAGGAGGCCGTGACGCCCTTCATGAAGCCGCCGAAGCCCTCGTTGGCCCAGATCTGCCGAACGGCGTCCGTGTATCCCTTGTAGGCTGACTGCCCCGGCTGTGCCAGCAGCTGCAGCCGGGTGCGGACCATCCAGATGGGATTTGTCACTGAGAGTAAGCAAGAAAGGCACGCAGCACAGGGGACAACGACGAGTGAATGTACGCATGACCTGTCCCAGTGTGCCATGTGCCTGACTCACCAGTGTTTGATATGCCCCCGGCCACAGCAGCACTGAGTATATGTGTGAGGGGGCTGTTGTCCATGTAGGGAAACAGAAACGACTTCATGGTCGAGTAGCCCCAGAAGTATATCGACCGCGCCGGAATGATGCCGACCAGCGTCGGTGCAAGGCCACGGTAGAATGCCGGCAGTCCACCCGAGTCATAGACCGCCTTTGCCGCCTGGAAGAAGTTCTGATGCCCCCCCGCAGCACTCGCCTGGAGCTGCGTCTTGACCACCTCTATCGGCGTGGTGATGGACGATGCGATAGTACCGGCCATGCCGCCCGCAAACAGGCTCAGCAACTGCTTCTTGACGCTCTGTGCCGTCCCCTTGGCGTTGTTGATGAGGTAAGAACGGGACGCCTTGACAGATGGCAGTGGCCGGCGTGAGGGAAGTCGCTCGGTGACGATTGCTGGCGAGTAGGTGTCGTCGTGGCGTGTGCGTGTCGGCAGGAAGAGGGCTGGTCGTGCGATGGGAGGAGATGCATGCGAAGGCCATAGGCAGATGATCACGCCAACTAACGCCGGCAGGGAGGACAGCACGCACTGCTTCATCGCCATCCCAACAGCTTCTTTCTTCTTCTTCGCGGTTTGTGCTGCCAGGGTATCACGTGAAACGCTGCCGCGATCGCTCAAGGCGCGGCACACATTCCCTCATCAGCCGTGAACTCATCCCTCAATTGCATCAGATTGGGTAAGGTGAAACATAACGAGGCGAATTCCAATTATTGGAGGGTAGCATATCCGTGAAGTCCAATTGGTGAAGTCTTGCACAGTGTGTACCCATCCCAATCACATGCACCTTCGACATGCACAACACAGTACACAACCTACTATAGACAGCTGGACGTAAAGATCTATCGATGGATGGATAAAGGCACAAATACGCAAGCTTTACGAAGAAAAGGAGAAGGGCTCAGCCGTCAACACGCACCATATCACTCAAAAATCTATCAAATTCGGCAAGCTCTCCACGCTCCCAGCCCTCACCTCGGGCGAGGCGTCAGAAGCGCCACCCTCCTCCCCGCCAGGCCCATCAGACAAACGCGGCGAGGAAGCACTGGCCTCCCCTGGCTGGCACAGAGGTGACGATGCTTTCTCGCCGGACGCCGTGGGCTGGGATGCGGTGGGGGACGCCGGTGCCTTCTGCTGGTATACAGCCTTTGCTGGGAGAGGCAGGTCATTGGACAGCAGGAAATGGTAGCCCTCGCACGGCTTCAACAAGTCAGAACTATATGAATGCACACACACACAGAGGGGGGCTCACAGAGGGCACAGATGAGAGCAGAGTGTCGCGCGTCATGAGAGTGCCTGGGTGACTGACCTGAGGCATTTCTCCCACCCGATGAGATACACAGGCTTGTTGAACTGCTTGGTCACGAACTCGATGACTGGCGCAAAGTCCATGTCCCCCGCCTGCAAAGGACGAAGCACTCGAGGAATGGTGACACTCAGCCCACCCCACCAGCAATGTGCCCACCCACACGCACGTGAGGACGACACCTACCACAAAGAGGATGGCATCGACGCTCTCGCTGGCGGCCTTGCTCATCATCTCGAGCGCGATCGAAATGTCGGTCCCCTTCTGCGCGAACGTCGGAAACCCATGGCCGCACGGACACCTCACGTGTCGCTCCTTGAATCTGATGAAGGGGATAAGGAAAGGATGTGGCATGAAATGGGCGTGTGGTGCATCGTGACGGGCTCACTTGGACTGGACGAAACGAATGCCACTCTTTCTCGGAATCTCCTCTTGCAGGCTCTTCAAGCCATCGCGAATCAAGAGGCCCGGCGGGAGACCGCCGAGTATCTTCTGAGAGGACAGAAAACAACGTGGACAGACAGACAGAGCGACAGATTGGTTTCCAGCCTCATGCATGTATCGCTGACGCGTACGTGGAAGAAGTCGTCAGCATCAACGTTGAAGTAGCTGCTCAGCTCTCTCTTGATGTTGAGCGGCAGGTACAGCTCCGCCTCGCGCTGACGAAGTCAGGATGACATACAGACAGAGACGTGAAGCAGAGACAAAGCCGCGTTCGGATCTTCTTCTTTCGTCCTCCTCACGATGATGCGGGCGAAATCATCATGAGTCATGGCGCGGTCGTTGGATGACCTGAATGCCCGAGCTGCCCATGCGCCATCGACGATCATGGCCGCCCTTTGACGGTCCTTGTCGTCGATGAAGGGAGGCTTGGGGACTTGGGCCTTGCTGTTCGCCTGGGTGACGGTGTGGGCAAATCGGCACAGCTCTCCGTTCCTGCAGTATCCTTTTGCGTAATAGATGCAGGGAATCGGCTTCTTCTTCTTCTTGACAACGTCCCTACGCACACACAACAACACGGCGCACACAATGGTACAGAGAAGACGAAATGCACACGCATCTGTCCATCTGCGGTCTTACTTTCGTCTCGTAGATTTGCTCAGTGCGCTTCCGACTGGCGATGCAGCTGCTGCGTCAGGCGCATCCACGCTGCATGCACACGGACAGTTAGTTCATCGATGGGTCGGTGGATGCTTGTGTTCCTCGCTGCCATGCGACTGGGACTTGTCTTCTTCCGTGTTCGTTGCAGAGCGAAGAGCCTCGAGTCGAGGGGGAGGAAACGGAGGGGCTGGGGGAGCGCTCACAGAGCCCATGACCAATGTCTGCACCAGAAGCTTCTGCAGACGCTGCTTGGCACTGAAAGCCTCGGGGCCCACTATCACGAAGAAGACGCACCGTCTGGGTCACACAAAGCCAAGGCAGCCGCATACGTGAAGGCTGCGTTTGTGCGTTGAGATGTTGGTGTCGCCTACTCCATGGTGCGGTATGTGATCATCGTTGAAGTATCAGCTTCGATCGCTGTGATCTGCCTGAGCAGCGGCTCGTCCTTCTCGATGGGCAATTGAGAGGTTGCCAGCGATCTGGCCACAACCTCGACATACCTGAAGTCAGCAGCCGATCAAGTAAGCTCATGTCCGTGCACGTGTTCCCCTCCCTCTCCATTTCACTCACGTTCTGCCATCAGCTTTGAATGCCGCTGGGTCTCTGAGGAAGTCACTCTGCTCTTGGAGATAAAGCCTGGCTTGCACCCGCTCTTCTCGGGAGCCTGAACAGAACGCACAAACCAAACAAACAACTTGCTATGCGGTAATGCGCGTCTGCCTGTGTGTCAACTGACCGATGAAGACGGCTACGCCGCCAATACACGTGACGTGAATGCACCCCGACGCACGCTTGAGCTTGGCCAGACGACTGCCCACGGGACCGAACAGAGTGTTGGCATGATGCGCCGGTACGCGCATCGACTCCACAGCAACGCCTTCGTCATGAGCTACGACGTCATGCCCGCCCGTGTCATAGGAGCCAGGATGGACGGACTCGATCATCGACATCACCTCGACTTCGAAGCACATCTGAGCAGACCTGAATGCATTGGAGGGACATGATATGTATGTGTACCAGCTTGGGTGTACTGCGGTGTGCCGTCCTTCACGGCGGGATGGGCGAGCTGACACCACCAATGGATGAACCGCTGCAAGGCACCCAGACAGCCCCAACAAAACACATCACCGCACTCACTGTTGTTCCTTTCCTCGAAAGCTGCCCACCTCACTCACCTGGGCGAGTTCGATGTTCTCCTTGGTGCCTTTCAGTCTGTACTTTCCAGCCTCGATGTTGCCGCCTGCACATCACAAGGGAGAAGAATGCAGATGGAAGGGAAGCTGCATGGGTATGCCGGTGCGTGTGCATTGCCCACCTGGTGTCATCTCCAGCTTGACATTGAAGATGGCTGAGATTCGATCCTGATTCTGAGCGTTCTTGCCTCTCACCAAACCTGTCGCGGCCCACGCGCAAGACACATCGTTCCTTGCAGATGTGTCTGCGTATCTGTCACCGTATGCTTTGCCGCGTAGCTCTTGGTACACAGTGCTCGTTTCTGGGGCAGAGGGGCCATCAGTCAGCGACACAGAGCGAGGCCTGACGGACACAAGAGAGCAGCACTTGTGGGCACTCATCGTGACAACTGTCTACATGCGTCTCGTGTTGCGTACATTTTGTCAGCATGGCGGATTCTCATCGGACACGAGTTGCCAAGACGACAGAAGCCGCTCTGCGAGGTGCAGATCTCTTGCTGTCTCGAAGACGACGGAGTACCACTATCTGAGAGGGCAAATGCCACACCGCACGAAGCACAGTCAGGTGTTTCTCGGTCTGTTTTGCAGTACCTTGTGAGCTCGCGGCAACATCGTTCCATGAAGCAGACTTGTTAGCAGGGGACTGCACCTGCACAGATGAATGCAAAGGAAAGAACCCGCAGTGCACAGCAGTTTGGCAGCCTACTTTCTCTCCTACGTGTGTGGAGCTGTATTCCTTCGCCAATTGGACGCCCGGCAAGACAGTTGATGGGCCCTTCATCACGACGGGCACACTGACGTCAATCTTGTGTCGGTCTTCCGGAATTGTCGGCTTCGTCGAACAGCACACGAAACAGTCTTTCTCCATCCAAAGCGGGTTGCGTGCTGCTTACGTCAGAGGTATGCGCCCCGTTGCCCGGGTGCGATGCAAATCTGTCCCATACTGCCGAGAAGAGGTCCGAGTCAGGAGATGGCTCGCGTTTCTTGCCATCCCGCGCACGGGATGATGGTGATGTTTGCGGCTCCGCGTTGCCAATCTTAACAACCAGTTCATCGTCTGAACACAGTCAAGGCAGTTGAAAAAGAGAATCGGGACAACTTTTCCGTGCGCCGTACCTTCACGGAGCACAGACGGGTCATCGATTTCTGCGCCTTTGCAAAGCAATGCCGAAGATCTGCACAGAAGCACACACGCAGACGAAGATGAAGGCTCTTTTTCTCGTGCTTTTTCGATGGCGATGCTCTCACCTTGCAATAGCATCATCGGCTTTGGTGTCCGTTCCCTTCAGCATCCCCAGCTTCCCCAGAATCTTTCTCTTACACACCTCCTCGCTCCACTGAGGATCCAGCATCATCATCTTGAGGCTTTCTGAGTTGCCTTCAAGGGCGACCCTGACCCGTACTGCCATTCCTGCTATCTGTAGTCTGCGTATCTCGCCTCCCTTAACAGAGACGCGTGGAGGCTCGCAGTGCACCGCCTAGGGTGCTCCATGAAACCGCTGCAGAAAGGGTTGAGAGGAGGGACCGTCGCAAAAGCAAAGGGACTGCTGCACAAAGCAACACCTTGTGCAGCACTGCGAGTAGATGTAGATTTTTGCAGCCATGAGGCCGGGCACCATAGGCTCAACGCAACGGGCAGAAAGAGGACTGGGGATAAGGGCGGGGATGCGGCCGGTCAAGAAGGCGACTATGTGCAAGTACATCGGTAAGCAAAGCGACGCCAGGCCGCTGCACGGGTCAACTCTTTTGGGCTGTGTGTGTGGAGGGCTTCAGCGAAGGGCTTTTGTCGGCTCGGTCAACAGTGCCCTTTCGCGCACACTGCACAGGAGCGCGACGCATTGCGGTAACGAATGGCACACACGTGACAGGAAAAGGCGCGCACGTTCAAGTGGGTGTTTGGTGATCTCACCTTGCAGGTCGCAGCAGAGTTTGGACGCATTCGCACCGCCAGCAGTACCAACGTTCGACACTCCGACGGAACCACAAGACACCACGCCTGCGTAAGGCGGACAGGATGCACACCACACCCTGATGAGCAGCTTGACGCTCACCTGCCGTATGAGGACTCTGTGTGTTCAGATCGTATAGTCCGAGCAGTATGTCGAGCAGAGGTGGCGCCAACGGCAAGCCCATGCCCTACAGCGCTAGTGCTACTGGGGCCGGCTCCAACGCCACCACGCCCACACTACAGCCCGTCGAGTGAGCCACGCACCACGCAGTGTCGCGAACACGTGCATATCTGTCACATCGATGTGTGTGTGTGCGTCAGCATGAAGAGCACGCAGCCTCAGTCGATTCCCATCACGAGTAGTCCTGTACCAGCGGCCCTCGATTCGGCGGGGAGCCCCTCTCGTGCGTTGCCTTGGCGCGGCAATGCGTCCCTCATCATCGATGGGGCGTATTTGTGCAAGTCGTTCAAGTCCGTCTCATTGCCGGGCATCAAAGACATCGAGCGCTACATCGGGCTCATTGAGGAGCGGTGGGGGTTTGGCGTGTCCACGTATCACTCGCTGTACGTCAGCACCAACCCCAAGTAGGCGAAAAACGTGCTGGGTTGCGGGGGTGGGGGCAGGGGGAGGGAACACATGGCCACTGATGTACGCACATCAACATTTCAGGTATCTGCGGCCGAGGGAGAGGGAGCTGGCGCTCCGACAGCTGCACAAGCACCTGCGGAACGAGTTGTGCTTCGAAGTGTGGGAGGCAGAGTGAGTGAGGAAACACATCGACGGCCGAGCAACGTCACGTTTGTGTGTCATGTGAATGTGCTGGTTGTTCAGCTTGAAGGAGAACGGGACACAGGCGGGTGCAGACTGCAAGATCACCATCGAGGTAAGAAAGAAAGATTGCCCTACGCTGTGGTGACATCTCTTTGTACGTGCAGTTGCTCAAGATGGCCAGACACGACAAGATCAGCGCGATTGTGCTTCTAGCTGGTGACCTCTCTCTCTATCTATCTATCTATCTATCTATCTATCTGTGTGTGTGCGCGCGTGGTTTAGGTGACAGAGACTTTCTCCCGGCGCTTGAAGAGATCAAGCGAAATGAGATTTACCGCAAGGAGGTCTATTTGCTAACTTGGGAGGCAAGCTCAAGGTGAGAGGGGGGGAAGCAGAGCAACACGCACTTCACGAGTGCATGTGTCGTCCCAACTTTCCTCCCCTGTGCTGTGCAGCCAACACTTGGGAACCCATGTGGTGGAGCGGCTGTGTCTGGACCAAGTCAACTGAACCTACCACATCCAAGCAAAGCCAAACCAGGTGAACAGAGGCCATCGAGCAGTAACATTCCGATGCATACGCTTTGTGTTCATCTGGTCAGATAGATACCATTTCCGAGTCGAGCAGGATTATTCGTGTGTCAGGCGCCAGAAAACAAAGCGAGTGTCAGTCGAAGGTTCGGCTTTCATGAACCACAGAAACAGAAGGGGAAGGAGAGGGACGGGTGGGGTGTTGTCCAGATGTGATGAAAGAGGGCGTTGCAAGCCACAAAAAGGCGTTTTCCGCCGTGCTATGAAGGTGTATCAGTGGATGTGGGTCTGTATATTGGTTTTATCAGAGAGAGTTAGATATCGGTTTTCCATGTCCCTCGTGCCTTTTGCATAAAGCATGCTCGAGGCAGAATTTTGCCATGTAACCTCCTGGGGTGTGTATTTGTAACGGTTCTGTATGCATTTGTAGACTGCCCTGCGCATAAGTACATATTATCCAGCCGGAAAGCGACTGAAAGAACGAATTAGGCCGCTTGTTTGTCGCCGGTTGCCCTCACGGACTTGCAGGCTCGTCTTCGTTTCTATACGATGAATTGGTGCATGGTCTCCTGTCGACCGTAATGTATGCTTCGCGCCCAGGTACAGTGTGTGCGAAAGGGCACTGCAGACCGAGCCGACAAAAACACTTCACTGAGGGCACACCACACCCCAACAAATTAACCTCAGCGGTCTGCAAAAAGGGGAATTTCTGTGCCGTATCGGACCGCCTGTCAGCGCAGCTTTACCTGTAGATGAGCTGTCTCTGCCTTGCCGGTGCCCCTGAGTTTCACTCCGTACTCAACATCACTGTGGGATTCCACTCAATGGCTGATTGAATGGCCGGCCAGCAGCAATGTGAGACACGATGGGGGCTGGCTGTTCTGGCAGCATGTAAAGCAGAGAAAGATGCGCGACCTGATGGGCTGAATGGCCTCTGGCTTTCCTGCGCTAAAGAAAAGCCATGAACGTCACCGCCATAATTCCAACCGTTTCACGGAGCTACGTCCCGGACGCATTCGGTGTTCGATTGGCCGGCATGAGACCACCAGACGTATGCGCGAATGAGAGCTTTGTTTTCTTCTTGGCCCTGAAACCTTCCATGTGAATCGACTGGGGGACAGCCTGGCCGAATACGGGCCAGTTAATTTTGAAAGTGGGGGCCGGTGAGAGCTGCCCAGCCTTGCAAGGCTTGGAGCAGATTCGGAAAGGAACCATGCTGACAATTCGACTGGAGCCTCTTGAGCTGAAGGTTTATGCCACGTTGCCTCGCGTCCTCCCCCTCAACCCTCACCGAACCATCTCCTTCCTCAAGAGCACAAGCAGACACCTGCCCGCATCAAGGCTGTGGGTAGGCCCCCTGCTGTCAATGGCAGAGGAAATCTGTCGCAGGATTGCTGAGCCGCCTGAAGAGCCTCTTGCACTCAAGGACGAAACCCCAATGCTGATGATTGAAGATGAAGATTCGATGAGTGTCTCGCAAGCGACTCAAGCAAGGACCGTGAATCGTCAGGGAACCAGCTACAGTTCAATGTCCATCGGTAAGCAGTCGCATGTACGGACCCACGTGCAGCCTGGGATGAGTGCCTATGTATGAGTCAGATGCCCCATGCACAAAGCGCGTCTCCAGCTGCTCAGTGGCGACGAAAGCAACCAGCGAAGAGGCAATTGAAACGAAAGCAGCAACCCAAATGAGCAAGAGGTGAGAGTTGTTGAGTTCACAGCATTTTCCTCCCTGTCTTTCTGTCTCCGTGCCCCCGTGTTCGCAGTCCGAGCGGTCCGAATCTGTATGAGTTGTCGCTCCCTCTCACATACCAAAGCTGCGTCAAACTGATCCAGACGAACCTCCACGCCTTCACCTTCACCCTGTGGGAGTGCGGCGAGACTGTTATCAGCAGCATTATGCCAAGTCCTGGCCTCCTGTCGACGAAGATGGGAGAGATTGCGAAAAGCGAGAACTCACAATCGATTTTCCTTTCCATGTGCGTCCTGTGCAACATGCCTGGCCTTCTAGCCGCTGAAGTGAGAGACCTCAAGAGGAATGTGTCGTCTCACATGTTCGTCTCTTGTCCATCGGCACAGGTTGGTTTGCGTTGGCTCAAGTTGGTCGGAAATACAATAGCTCACCTCCCGACGGTTCCTGCCCTGGTAAGCAAGTCCGCTCTAAATGCAGGATGCCAAGCCGTCATGTCCGTTCTGCAGCTTGACTATGGCAGCAAAAAGGTTGCAAGCAGTTTCGCCATCTACCAGGCCGTCCTGGAAAGGCTCTTCACCTTATTGGGGGGCAAGGTCAAAACAAGGATCTTCCTCAGCACTGACCACTGTGTCTCTCTGTCACTTCAGTGCTACTCGGCTTTCGCGAGGAAGGAGCTCGAAGCCAAGGATCGTGAGATCGCATTCCTGCAAAGCGAAAGGGCAAGATAGACAGCAATGCCCAGAGCCATCCTTTCGTTCGTTCTTGCTTTGCAGCGCAAGTTGGTCCTCCAGATGCTCGAGATGTCCGACAGAGCCTTCCAAAGCAACGAAGCAGGCGGGAGCCGGCATATTGATGCCACCGTGCAGGAGCTCCAGGTGAGGCTACTGCTGCAGCCGCACTTGTCCACATTGTGGGCGACTGTGCCTCCCAGGCCTTGGTGGAAGAGGTGACGCGACTGCGCAGCACCAGTGCCACTAGATAAAACATTGTTTTATCCATCCATCATGCGCTATTTTGCCTACGCGACTCTATATAATCCTTCGATCGATGGTCATGGAGAGCCCTTCTTTAGCGAGAGGGCTGGACGAACAAAGAAACACCGTCATCAAAGACATTTGCATGCGCAGCGTCTTCCTGAAAGGCAGGCAGTTTGGTTGGAATCAGACTTATGAAACGATTCATTTATCAGTTCCGAATTCAGCCCTGGCGAGTTATCAAGATGTCGCATCCCCAGATGCCAGGCGGGCCCACGGATTTGGGTACGGTAATGATGGGTGACTGAGAGCAGGGGCTGCCAGCTTGCGTTGATCTCTTCCTTTCAGAGCATTCACGAGAAAGCCGATCTGTGTAAGCCGATCTGTGTTGTTTGTCGCTTCAAGCCGCTCCAGATATCGATCAAAGGAAACAGAGAAAGAGGGCCGAGTGTCTGACAGCGATCGTTTTTGTGCCGGCCTGTTTCCCATGGGACACGAGCCGTTTTCCTCTCTTCTCGTTATGTAGCGGGAGTAAGATTTACCTGTGATGAGAGAGACAACACAACCATGCAGTTTGTTTGGCCAACAAACGCGAGAAGAGAAGAACAGGGCTGCTCCTGGATTCTGTCGGTTAAACGAGTAAGAGGCCCTGAGTGTTGTGAGCGGCTTATACCAGACACCGTTAGGGTGCGAAAGGGACTCTCTTCGAGGTCACGGATGCACCGACTTCATTATCTAGAGAAGGAATGCAAAGAGGCGGGAATGCGAGGCGGTAGCAGGATGTCTTTGGAAGCATGATTTGAGCACCACGAGACACGAAGTGCAGAGTTTTCCTCGCCGCGGATTGGGCATGAAATCCACCTTTGATGAGACGAGAATACCACTGTGCAGTTTGTTTGGCCCAACTTGGACGAGGCCGCAAGAAACATTGGTCCGTTAAACGAGCATGCGGCCCATCAAAAAATCAATGGCCGAGCGCGGCTTTGTGACGAAAGAGGTCTTGTGAGAGGTCATGGAGGCACCGGTGCTGTCGTCTACAGCAGGAATGCGATGAGGCGAGAATGGTAGGCTGTACTGGGATGTCTTTGTGTGAGCACCACAAGACGAATTGCAGAATTTTCCTCGCCATACATTGGCAATGAAACCCACCTTTGATGAGAGGAGAATACCACTGTGCAGTTTCTTTTGCACAACTTGGACGAGGCCGCAAGAAACAGGGCCATCCTAGATTTTCCGTGTTTCCTGACAAAGACTGCCGCATGAAAAACGGTGGTGGAAAGCAGGAAGTACTCGAGAATCGGAGGTGTGACATGAGAATTGAATGTTAAGAGAGTTGGCTCAAGTGGCGCTTTTTCCCACTCAACCATGAGCAACCCATCCAATCGGGGAAAAATGTTGCTTGAGCCTGCCGCTGTCAAGTGTTGTGAGACGAGGGAGCTCTCTTTGGATTTTCGCTGGTTGATGTCGTGCTGTGTACACACACATGGTTTCTCCATCGATGGGGGAGTGTGCATGCCATCGGAGAGTCCCATCGCTCACACACTGTACTCTACATGCCTGGCTTCGCTCTGGAATCAGGCGCACATACGCATCGACACAAATAGAATGCACAGAAATGCACAGCGAGGGTACCAACATTCGCATGGTAACAACACAGAGAAACACAGCCTAACACCACAGCATAGCTACAGGCTCGGACTCGTACGAAGCACGCACCCATTTCCTTTCCTGCCCTTGTCTCTACGTGTCAGCGCCGATACGTTTCTTCCCCTCCTCCCTCACGCTGTCCAATTCACTGCCATCTGCATCAACGTCAGTTGAGTCTTCGCTCTTGGTGCTGGCGAAGCCTGTCCTGACGCCGTTTGCACCGTTGATGGCCAGTGGGCCGAGATCTACCGCTTGCGGCGTCGAGAAGAAGAAGTTCAGGACATCGGACCCTCCTTGGACATGCATTCTGAACACGGATAGGCGTATTCGTCCCTGGTTTGATCAGTTCTTGCTGTGTTTTGCTAGTTACTTGATAGCGGTGGCCATGGGCGCGTGCACGGGCGAGACAGCATAGCCATTCCACTGGAGAATTCCCTGCTCGATCAGCTCGTAGATGGAATCCTGTGCAGAGAGACACGCAAGTGATGGGCAATCGGCATGCCGTGCTGGGGCTTGGCATCCACGTTGACTGACTTTGAGTGCGTCCTGGCTGCCCTCGAGTACGAACGCATCCGCATGCAAGAATCGCTTCAGCACCTCCAGCTTATCAACAGAGTCAGCAGACGAAGACACTCCGAAGCGAAGAAGAGCGGTTCTGTTGCGTCTGTCTCACCTTTGCATTGGTGTCACATGCCATGTTGACCAGCATCTGATACGTAGACCTTTCCTTCGCCAGCGCCTCGTCGAGGCTCAGGCCATCTTGAAGCATAAGATGGATCTGGAACAGGCTGCCAGGATGGCCCTGAATGAACACAACACAGGCGCCACAAACCCACGTCAGACTTGTGGGTGGCTGAGATGAGTATAGTAATACCTGTGTATGGGCCCACAGTTTCTCATGCTGTGCTAGCACAGTCCTTTCCACCGCTGAAACAAACACGAAGAAGGATACTCACTCATGGTGCATGTGCCCCGCTCGTATATGTGCTGACCATTGTCGCCGTTTGCGTATGCAATGTCGGACGCCTCTGTGGGCCTCCTTGCCGGCTCCGCTTGTGATGACGACTCGTCAGTTGGTGACTCGCCCTCCATGTTGCGCCAACACTCGCCTACGCTGATGTTACCTGCATGTGGACCCATGGCACAGAGACCCTGAAGACGTCAGCCGGTCTATCCACCTTTTGTTACCGATGTAGTGGCCGATGTGCCCGTCGATCTTCATGGCACGACAGCCCTCAGAGCCCTTCTCTTCACTCCACAACGCTGAGACAACAGAAAGAACGCACACGAAATACGTGAAGTGTCTACCGCTTTCCCGTCATGCTTCCTACTTACGGCATTGTCCGCACTTGTTCTTGTCTCTGGACTGAATGAGTGGGAAGAAACGCTGACTGAACGAGTGGGGAGAAACGCAGTCCTACATCTGTGTATGTACACACGCGTCTGTCCGTGCATCGATCACCGAAACAATTCGAGGCTCTCATCCCTGCACAAATGCACGCAAGCTTATTCGCGCCGTCGCGTTTTCTGCTGGCTCACTTCTCAAGAGGCCACAACCGATGGATAGCGAACGACTCAGGATCTAACACAACGCATATTGCCAATCATCGAGCGCTGCATCCTTCCTCGTTGCGCTTTCGTACCGCTGAGCAGGAAGCGTGGCCCGATGGCATGGAGGAAGCTATCGGCCACCTCAATGATCGTCGGTGTGGTCGAAAAGTAGTGCTTGCGACGCTGAAAATTGCTGAACGACCAACACACAGCGGAGATAGATGAGAGGAGATGCCGTGCAGCGTGGCGGACAGCCAGTCTACCTGAATACGTGGCTTGTGAGTTGTTCGAATTTTCTTTGGTCCTCCTCGATGGCATTTCTCGCTCTCGGGTAGATGCTTTGCAGGTGCAGCAGTAACAGAATGCCGTCAAAGTCGACCTTGTCAATGATGTCGAATATGGAGGCCACCTGGCCAACGCCGAGATTCTTGTCCATCAGACTGTCGTGAAGCGTCAACAGCATGCCACGCTGGAACAAACCGAGGCCGGTCTGAGTGAGCCAAAGACAGACAGAAACAGAGACGATAAGACGCTTTCACTGATCCACTCTAATCCTGTGTTGTACGTCTGGTGCGAATCTTTGGCTGTGGCTGAGTTCAGACACCCATGTCCTGCGGAAGAAGCTCAGGTCGCCTCTTGTGGATATCCCCATCTTCCACCGGACCAGTCGAACCAGGGTCTTCAGGAACTCGACAAGCGTGATCTCCTGATGACAACCACACACATACAAGCAACGCATACAACGCGCATGGGATGCTGGATCCGTTGCGGGCGTCTTCTCCTCACCCACCTCAATGATCATCATGGAGAAGGCATTCTTGAACGACCGGACAAGAGTGGACGTCTTGGTCTGGCGTAACGCCTGAAGCAATACGCAGGAGAAAGGAGAGATCTGTCGCTGCCAGCTGCTCCTTGGCCTATCGCACCTCGGCGTTGTTCTGTATTGCTCGCGAGATGCCGGCCCGAAACAAGTGGATGAAGTGACGGAAAGTCCCGTCGCACGACTTCAAGTCGACAGTTATCACAGCATGGCCTGAGCACACGCACACACACCAAGCTTCATCCTCTGCCGCGTGCAGCCTTCCTCCGTTCACCTTCGCTCAGGAATCTGTCCTGGGCCACCATGAGAATTCGTGACTTGCTGACGAGATACAGGAGGGGACAGTCGTTGGCTTTGTAGTGCGGTGTACTTGGTCAGCTTCTCTTACCCGATGCTCTTGGGACCGCTGCACACGAACACATTGGACACTTGCGGCCTCACGTATTTCGTCAGGAACTGCAGATATCTCGTGCGGCCAAAGTGAGGGATGAAATGGCTCGCCATTTCCTCTGAGTCGCCTCCTCTGAGTCGCCTTTGGCAGTGCGTTAGGGCTCCGTTTTTCCGTTCGTTCGGCACAAACGCGCAGCGCGAAAGTCTGCGCATCTGCACCAGTGTCTTTCTTGTCTTTCTGCTTCCCGCATCAGCCACACAATCTGCTTCATTGGTTCCTTCGTTCACTCCCGTACACGACTTTTGCTTCTGTGAAAGCGTGTGTCTCTGTCTTCTGTGTACTCATGTAGCGACCTACAACACGATTTGGATTCAAGCGGTGCGTGATCATCAAAAAATGGAGCCAAGAATGCAAAAAAATGCCGCAGGCTGCGAAGAGCTCACATCAACGCTCTCCATTGCCGCTCTCACGCAGTGAAGACATGACAGCCCAGCCCCTCAGCCTCCATTCAAAGCAAGTGAAGGGCGTGGTCCCTCGTGACTATGCCAGCCATTCCATGAGTGAGAAGCGAGAAGGAAACATCCACACACAAGGGCACAAACATGACATCCATCCATGCACCATCACATCAGGCCAGCCCGAGCTGGATCAGCCCGCCGAGAAGATCCGGGTAGAAGGCTGATTAACAAACTCATGCAAAAACAAAAGGTGCAATCCGTACATTTTACATTTTTAAATCCACTTCACAGTCGATATCACACTCTGGCGCTGATGAATCATCACCCTGATCTCCCCTCCCTCACCTTGACACGCAGCACGACGCATACACAGTGCCTCTCTGCCTGCCTGCCTGCGCCACTTTTGTGCTTCCACCAGTCACACGACACACATCTGCAGGTAAGTCCATAAAAAACCGACGCATGCATGGAAATAAAGGCAGGCAGATACGTATGCGTATACGTATGCGCATGCGTGTGTTTGTATGCATATATATATATATATTTATGTATGTATATATGTATCGGTGTACATATGCCCATCGACGCATTGCATCGGCATCACAATCGCATGGACACATACAGAAAACAACAATCGCGCGTAGACAGTTAAAGGAAAGGCACTCGCCGTCCCATTCATTCCACGTACACTCAGGTCACCATTCCTCTCTCTCGCGGCGCAGACATGGCAGGCGCGTCTGCTGAGCCATTGAGACAACCGCACATCTGCCATTGACTCACTGCGAACAGAAAATATAGTACAAGGCATGGGCAGAAAAAAAGCATTACACCATGTATTGGTGTAAGAGCAGACCAACCAAAACCCATGCACTCTCTCCCAGCAGCCTCTCAAAAATCGGGAGAGCGCCAACCCATCCACAGCACACACGAGTCATGTACACTTGCGCTTCACACAGATCAGCATCCCTCGTCTTTGGGCCTTCTGGCGTTCTTGACCGCTCAAGCAGACCCTGTGAATGCACATCAAGCGATGCAATGTAGCCGCGTCGTTGACAGTCAGCTCTTTACCCTGCGATGCGAGAGAGTCCTGAACCGCACCGTCCTTGTCCGCGTTTCTCTTCTTGCCAGCGCCCCTCTTCTTGCACTTGGTCGGACCAGCACCCAGACCCTGCAGACATGCACAGACACGCAGGAGCACGCAGTGCATCAGAGGGTTTAGGCCTGCTTGTGACAGGTGTATTCTCTGACCTTTGTTTTGACGATCTTGGGGCGCAGCCCATGAGTCTTCGCGAGGTGGGAATGTCTGATCTTCTTGTACGTGGACTGGAAGCCGCACAGGGTGCCGTCATCATAGCGGAACAGGCACGTGCAGGCGATTTTCTCGGTGCTGTCCCTGTTGACGGGTTGATACGGGATGACGTGCATGAGCTTGCCGTTGAAGTATGCCCGAACGCAGCACCGCCGATCGTAGTCAGAGTCCCCTTGCCCTAGAGCGGCAGGCGGGCGGAAATCGAGTCTGCGGTACCACGTCCTGAGCTCGCCGCGGTCTCGTTTGTCTTGGTCGATGTCGGCGGGCAAGAGCGCGAACCGCCACCCCTCCCACCCGGGAGGGAACTCACCTCCCACCCAGACGAGCCACATCTGGCAGTCCTCGGGAGCCGCCTTGCTGTCCTTGGGGTCCACGCGTGAAGTCGAGCTGCGCCTGTCGAGCTTCAGAGCTGGCCACTTCTCTCGGAGCATGGCCAGAATGGACACTGACAAAAAAAGGCAGCAGGAGCACCAATGACGACAAACTGGAAGCAGTCAGTCGTGTCGCGCACTTACCTTCAACTGTTGCAGCATTCGATGCAGCAGGTGGCATCTGAGTGGTATGCTGGCTGGGCGGATGGGGTCCACTCGGCGAAGGGATGAGTGGAAAGTCTCCAGATGGCGCCGACGCGGGAGTGCTTGCGGCAGGAGGGGCCGCAACACCGTCACAGCTCTGCATAAGGCCAACATTCGCACAGCCATTAATTAGCGTCGCTTCACTCACATGTAGCCCGCCGACCCACCTGTTGATTGAGCGAAGGGAAGACAGCCCCACTAAACGCCTCAAAAAGCCGCCCACGAGTGCGCACGGTGGTGTAGGGAATCGGTGGATGGAGCCCCTCCCAGAACGACGGGCCCATCAGGGCGTCTGTTGACATACAACGAATAGTGGGTCCAGGCAGGCATAGTCCCTCTGGATCCCCTACCTTGCTCGTCGGTCGCTCCGTACAACTCATCTGTGCTCTGCCATCTCCATTCCTGGGAGAGCTGTACACAGACAGCCATCAGCTATAATGCACCCCGTCAGGTCTACTCAGTCTTGTCACCCACCCACCTCTAGGTTGGATGACAGCTGCAGATCGTTGCCCGAATCGTTGTCCAGAGTGTTGTTCAAGGGGATACCAACCCCACTCGGTGCATAGCCGCAGCCAACAGAGCCGGGCAGGGGAGGGTCGGAACTTCGCGATGCGCTGGGCGTCATCAGGCATGAACCTGGTGGGCTCGACGCACCCAGGTCCGCACCTGCATGGATGCATTCACGCACACGTAATGGATGAATCACGTGACGCAGGGCGCCTGTTTCTTGCTTCATACCTTCCATCTCAGACTGAGGCAAGGCGACCAGTCTATCGTGTGCCTGACGAGTCAACGAAGGCAAGCAGATGCACATCGTCGTGTGGCAATCGTGGCGTCTTCCTCACCGGCCCAATGGGGTTTCCCTCCAACGCGGAACACTCGTCCTCCATGCGATGACTCTCAACAGCTGAACGAAAAAGAGCGCACAGATCCAATCGCAGAGCGCTCATGTGTGCGTCACTGGAGCATACCTTCCCTCTTGAACAGCTAGGCGAGGGAGGGAAGAAGGAGAGGAATACGGAGCAGCAGCGGTTTCACGAAGCCCTAGGCCGCCTGCACTCGGCGAGCTCAGATTGAGGGTGAGAAAGAGGCTTAAAGCTCCCTCGTCAGGCAGCCGATGGAAACTGCGTGGAGGGTTGCGGGCGGCTTGGCGTCGCTGATCTCTCCAAATTTCTGGCGAAGGACATGGGCCAGCTGTGAAGGCGTGACAGTGGAGCAGGCGTGGGGCGGCGGCGTCAAGCTGCTGGGCGAGGAGGTCAACAAATTCTGGATGCGGTACGCTGTGAGAGAAGCAAAGGGGAAGATGCCGTCACACCAAAGGGCCTGCACCTCTCTGATCTGTGTGTGATTTGGTTGTTTGTGTTGTGTGCAGCAACTGGTATGGCAGCCCTGTATCGTGGACGCACTCCCCCGCGCAGTTCTATGGCATTTTCTTCTACCCCTTCCTGGTGTTTTTCTTCTGCGGCTATTACACCTTCGGCGCCTACGAGGCCAAGTACGCTGCAGAGCTGTCAGCTGCCGCATACGGACAGGGCGGCGTGTTCGTCAAGCCGCCGCCCAAGTAGACAGGAGCAGTGGGGTGGTTATGTAGAGTGCCGTTCGCTTTGAGGGCCTGGCAGGGCCTGTCGAGGAATGACGCAATCGTAGAGCCTGCGCCATGAGGTGTTCTGTGACATGATCGTCGTGAGCGTTGAATGCGTATGCAGTGGTTCGTTTGGACGTCATTCATTCGTGACCTTGATATAATCGAATGAAGCTCTTCGGCAATATGACCACTATCCCTTCAGTCGTTTGTCTGTGCACCTGTCATGTCAGGCGCTCACTAACCCCTACTAGAGTTTCCCTTCTTCCTCTCCACTTTCTGTGCCGCCTTGTCAGCCAACCCCTTTCCCTTCTTGCTTGCCTTTGCCGCGTCTGCCTCTCTCGTCGCGTCACCTGACGCCTTTCGCTTCTTGCCGACAGTACTGTCAGCTGCATCCGAGGCGGTCTTCCGACTGACCTTCTTCTTGCGTTCCGCGTGCCCGTCTGCCGTTGCCTCTTTCTTGACGTTGCTGGTTGACTCCTTCTTGGGCTTGGTCAGTGCCTCAGGAGCCTCGTCGACATCAATGACCGCAGCTGCTTCGCTCTGCCTCTTTCTCTTGTTCTCCTTGCTTCGCTGCCTCTGCTGGGACCGCTTCTCCGCCATGAGTGCTCTCTGCGCTTCCTTCCTGTTCTCTTTCTTGACCTTGGCGCGCTCGAACAGCTCTTGGGCTGCCTCGGCAGCAGTCGACTCGTCCTGAAGAAATCAGCGGGCACAGAAATGCGTACATGGACACCACTGTCATCGCTGTGTGGTTGCAGGCAGACTGACCGGCACAAATTGATCAATGTCGTATTGGATGCCAAGCTGCTTGAGCTGCTGGGCTTTATTCTTGGCTGCCTTGAGACGTCTGAGCAGGCAGCTCTCACTGGGAACCTCCGCTGATTATGTCATGCAAACGCATGGACACAGGATACAAAAGGGAGATCACAGTGCGAAGGTTTAGAATGCCGGCTCGGCCGCCCCCCTTGCTTACTGCTCTTGTTGTGTCGTTCCATCTCGAGCTTTTGCCGAGGGATCTTGACAAAGCGACGATTCCAGTTGGCGAACATCCCTGAACAACCAACACCGACAGCGACGCCATTCTGACTTCGTCAGGATCACTGGGGATTCATTCATGAGAGACCGACAGACTCTGCCTGCCGTTGCGCTATGAGTTAACGTATGTCACACATTCATTTTTGCCTCTTTCTCACTTTCATGGACTCTGTCGTCGGGCACGAGCTTTGCGTTTAGGACCTTGTCGAACATCATGTATCGGTCCATTGTCTTGGCGACGATCTCAGCCACCTCCTTGACCTCAAACTCCACGAAAGCATAGCCCTTCGGACGACCCGTCTGCACGAAAAGTGAAGGGCATGCACCATGTCCTTCGTGCATCCTTTGCTGCTCTCCTTTGTCACCTTGACAGATCTCGGCACCTTCAGCCGCGTGATCTTGCCGAACTGCGAGAGGAACTTCTTGAGCTGAGGCTCGAAGAGGCCGAAGGGCAAATGGCCGATGTAGACCACGCCTCGCTCCTCTCCCTCATACTTCCTGCGTGCCTTGCCTTCCTTCAGGGGGTCAGCAAGCTTCGCCAGCTCCTTGACGCGGTCCTTGGGCATGACGTCTGACGATGTCGGCGAAGATGAGTGAGCAGATGAGCAAAGGGACGGGAGAGCAGGACGCCGGGTACGCCGCCTCACGATGTAGAGCGCATTATCGCGCGAAACGATGAGAACCGAAATACCAGTATTTAATTCGCTCTCACCGACCCCTCGAAATCTATGGTCGCGTTCGTGCGATTACAACCTTCACGCTCCCTGCGATGGACTGACGGACTGAGGAGGTGGCAGCGATTCCCAGGCGACTCCTCGGCTCAGACACCTGCTCACCGCGGCTGAGAGCGGAGCAACGATGCAGCGCAGAGGACGGCGGGCACGGCAGCGACGGCGTTAGCGACGGAGGAGCGCCACCCCACGAAGCGTGATTTCATCCAGATGGAGGAGGATGATTTCAGCGCCAATCTTTGTCCTTTGCTTTCGCTGCCGGCCAGCGGATCCTTAGGCACTCATTCTCTGGCGGAGGTCGGCATCCCGTGTGAGATGATCCCTCTACTTTCGCTCGGCGTGACCCCAACAATCAGCGCATGGATGTCTTTTCTGTCGATGGTTGAAAAACCTCGGCACCCCATCAAAAGTGCGGAGCGAAGCGAAGCGAAGCGAAGCGAAGCGAAGCGAAGAGCTTGAAGCAGAAGGTCAACAAGGTCAGCCAAAGGCGGAGAATGAGGAGAAGAGCTCTCCGTTTGGGCGTGACGTGCATGTGCGCTGTGTCTGCGTGTCGTCAGGCGAATCCCGTGAATGCATATGTGCCGAAGGGAATGACGCTTGAGCAGTTCAATGCCATCCAGCAGCAGGTGTTTCAAAAACGCACACGCACACAGACGTACACGCACGTCCATGCCGAGAGCCCCACACATGTGATGTACCCATGCACCTGTGTGTCATTGCACAGGACGTGCAAAAGATCCAGGACAGCAAGGACTACTGGAAGACCAAGTACGGCACATCTGAGGTATGTATGGGTCATGGAGGGTGCGTGCCCACAAAGGGTACATCGATCACACAATAAGAATGGAGGTGAATCCTGCGTCCATTGCATTACATGCAGCCCTTGGCTGAGTGGCTCATCAAGCGTGAGAAGAAGTACCCTGGGCACCCTTAAGCGTGTATTATGGATGGGTTCTTCGGTTTGGGTAGGTTGCTCGGTGTTGGTTGTATGTCGGTCCCCATGGGGTGCGTAAGTGGGCGAGTGCGCAGGATGCCGTCTGATGGGTAGCTGCTACGCAAGTGTGTCCTTGCATTCTAGAACGAACAGTGCGAAGGTGTGTAGTTTTCTATGTATCGGTTGTATCTTGCTTTATGGCGGACTCTGATCATAGAGAACGTTTGCACGCGCTGTATGACAATAAAAAAATCGGCCCGCCTCTGCACGACATGCCTTGCTTGGATGTAACCTTTAACGGTTCTGTATGCATTTGTACACTGCCCTGTGCATAAGTACATATCATCCAGCCGGAAAGCGACTGAAAGAACGAATTAGGCCGGTTGTTTGTCGCCGGTTGCCCTCACGGACTTGCAGGCTCCTCTTCGTTTTTATACGATGAATGGCTTTGGTGCATGGTCTCCCGTCGACCGAAATGTATTCGTCGCGCCCATGCACAGTGTGTGCGAAAGGGCACTGCAGACCGAGCCGACAACAAACACTTCACTGAGGGCACACCACACACCCCAACAAATTAACCTCAGCGGTCTGCAAAGAGGGAAATTTCTGTGCCGTATCGGACCGCCTGTCAGCGCAGCTTTACCTGTAGATGAGCTGTCTCTGCCTTGCCGGTGCCCCTGAATTTCACTCCGTACTGAACATCACTGTGGGATTCCACTCAATGGCTGATTGAATGGCCGGCCAGCAGCAATGTGAGACACGATGGGGGCTGGCTGTCCTGGCAGCATGTAAAGCAGAGAAAGCTGCGCGACCTGATGGGCTGAATGGCCTCTGGCTTCCTTCACCAAAAGAAAGCCAGGGGAAATTGCTCATATTTCCCTTTCGCAACCGTTTCACGGCCGGAGTTTCTCTGGACATTAGGGTGTGTCATCGGTCGGCATGAGACCACCACACGTATGCGCGAATGAAAGGTTTGTTTTCTCTTGCTCTGTGAACATCAATGAATCAAGGTGGCTCAGCTTGGCCGAGTACGGGCCGCGAGTACGGGCCGTGAGGGCCGGGCCGCCTGCGGTGGACTCGGAATGGAGCCGTGATGCTGACAAGTCGACTGGAGCCTCCTCAGCTGAAGATGTGCCGCGGACAGAAAATTGCGGTGCGCTTGTTTTGACTTTGTGTGGACAAAGTTGATAGATGCACACACCCCTCTTGGGAGGAGAAGTCGCTGCCGACTGGAAATTGTTTGGTGGCTGATTTTCTGCTGGGATGGGGTCTCACAAGCAGTCATTCTGAGTATGGATGCCGGTCATCAATGCAAGACGCGTGCCAACACTCACTCACAGAGAACGTCTACACGAGTTGCGCGACCCATCGGTGTAAGGAAAAATCCCCTTTGATGTGCACACAAAAACTGTACTCTGACGTGGCGCTTCTCTCCCCCAAAGCAAGCGAGTCCATCAACATGGGATCCACATGCAGCTCGCAAATGAGCTCAAGCAGCGCACATACACTTCACAAACAGTCCGACGTGTGTGAGTGAGCAAAGGATACATGCTCGGACAACGGAGAAAGAATCAAGTCCTCCCATGAGACCGATAGCGAAGCGAAGGCATCGACGAGTGGGATCACATCACTGCTCGCTGTAGCAGCGGGGACTCACCTCATGCACACACCGACCGCACAGTCCTATGAGGGCGGCACGTATGTAGACTTCACGTAGCGATGCCCCTGCAACAGACGACACACAGACTCATGATCCATAACGTCACGCCTACGATTTTGCGGACCCCTCCTTCCGTCCTACCGCTTTCGGCTGCCCAGGGTACTTCTTCTCACGCTTGATGAGCCACTCAGCCAAGGGCTGCATGTAACGCAAAGGACGCAGGATTCGCCTCCATTCTTGTTGTGTGATTGATGTACCCTTTGTGGGCACGCACCCTCCATGACCCATACATACCTCAGATGTGCCGTACTTGGTCTTCCAGTAGTCCTTGCTGTCCTGGATCTTTTGCACGTCCTGTGCAATGACACATAGGTGCATGGGTACATCACATGTGTGGGGCTCTCGGCATGGACGTGCGTGTACGTCTGTGTGCGTGTGCGTTTTTGAAACACCTGCTGCTGGATGGCATTGAACTGCTCAAGCGTCATTCCCTTCGGCACATATGCATTCACGGGATTCGCCTGACGACACGCAGACACAGCGCACATGCACGTCACGCCCATACGGGGAGCTCTTCTGCTCATTATCCGCCTTCAACTGACCTGCTGGTACGGGCTGGCGTACTTGCCCACCTCCCCGATGGGTTTCTTTGCAGGCAGGCCGAATGCATTGAGCATCCTTGGCTGGACGCGCCATGACGACGAAAGGCCGATGAGGAGGGCCACGATAACGACCACCAACTTCATTCTGAGGGCACGCAAGGGCGGAAGGCCCCTCCCAGCACTCGCGTTTTACGGCGAGAAAGTTCTGTAAACACAGCCCTGTCAGGAGACTCGTCGGAGAGAGCGGCAGGAGCGACAGATCTGCGCCATGAAAGCCAAGAAGACAGATGTGCATGTGACTTTTGTTTCGCTTTCGGGGGTTGCATGCTCGCGCTATGTTTCACGCCGGCTCTAGTCCGCCAAAGCCGCCAGCAGCCACAGAAAGATGACTTCGCCTTCTGGGCCGCCTCCGGATCCAACGAATCTGCTGTAAGGATGTCACACGGAGAAAAACCACGCAAAGATGCCATGATATCGCGTATGGCTCCTTTCAGATACAGAGATGTCATGGATTTCAATACACGCAAGTTTCCCCAGTACTCGCATGTATGGAAGCACAACAAGCACATGACTTGTGCCCATTTGAGTCCCCCTCGTGCAGTTGATTGAGCGCGTTCCGGACAAGGGCGAAAAAAAGATCGTCATATGTCGTTGTTGGCAGTCGAAGAAATTCCCCTACTGCGATGGCACTCACAAGGTCAGGGGCACGCGAGCAGCAGACGGCAAACAGGCGTCTTCACGTTTGTTGCGTTTCTTGTTTCTGTGTTGCTGGGTGGTCAGCAACTCGCGGCTGCTGGCGATAGTGTGGGGCCGTACGTGGCTAAGCTCCGCTCCTCGGTGATGCAGAATGCAAGCCCCAATGAAGTGACGCAACACACCGCGCAGAGGATGATACAGAAGATGCCTGCTGCTGCTGGTACGACAGAGGGATGGATGAGCAGACGGAGAGCACGTGACGTTGTCTTTGTTTGTATTGCGGTTCAGGTGCGGCTGTGCTGATGGCTGGTATTGGTTACTTGATGGCGGACATTCTTGGCGAGCTGTCCGGCCATCCGACTGCCAACCTCTCGCGATGGAGGCCAGTCGCGCAGATGGCTGTTTCCGGTCACACGCACGCTGCTGGTGTACTGTAACTAACCAAGGATTGGTCGGCGCTCGTGAGCTGCATGAGGAGAGAAGGGGCCGACGAGAGTGGGTTTTTGAGGGGTGGTTTTGATGCGTGTGATGAAGCGAGTGCGAAATGGGAGCAGTGTTATCGATTGCATCCTGTACATCTAGCACATTTCTAGCGCCATCGGGTTTGTGGTTTGGACTGACAACTCATACAAACAATTCAACAAGGTTCATAGTCTCACTGCTGCGTGAGCAGCAAGAAGATCAGTCACACTGTCAGACCCAGAAGGCAGGCATCACGACTCAAATCAGACAGACACCTCACCGACTCACTCAGTCCTCTCCATTCCCTCTGCAATGTGGCTGACCATCTTGCTGTCTGCCCTCACCGCCCTCGTGACTGGGCAACTTCTTTGACGGTCTTGGCAGCCGCCATTTGGTTTCGGATATGCCTCAACCACGTAGAGCGGTCGGTCGACGACTCACGCCCCACACGAAAGACGAACTCACGATTTTGGCCCTCTGCCCTCATCCTTGCGAACAACGCGCGCATAAAGCATGATGTTGTCCCGGTGAATCGAACACTTTGCAATGGAGGCTGACCTGAAGATTTTTGGGTTGCGCTCGTCTTCTGTGACGGTCCAGCTGTGCTCTCTGAAGTCCAGGACTGTCAGAGACAGGAGACGAGGTACAGGACTGTGTCCTTCTGACCGACAGGACGAAGTACCTCCACTTGGGACTGTGTCCTTTCGATCGCCGAAGTATAGGAGGGCAAAGCTCCACACACGCACCCATCTGCACCGTGGATAGAAATAAAGCGCCTCTGGTGTATACAGACACGCCGAAAGCCCATCAAGCCTACCTGCTCTGCCACATGAAGCCATTGCGGTGTCTCTTATCTAAATGGTCCTCCAGCACTGTGTCGTACAACAGCTGGGCGCTGCGAACTGAAGACCCACAGAATGTGCAGGAAAACGGGCGGGAGAATCCAACGCATTGACTTACGTAAGGTGACAGGTCGTTTCTGCTCGTCTGACTCCTGCGTTTGCCCGCCAGCCATATTCTGTATCTGCGTTCCCGCCACATCGCCAAAACTCAACCCTTCACGCTGACACAAACATGTCCAAATGCAGCCAGGAATCGCCCCTCGTGTTTTTGTCTTTTCCTTGACACCACCCTACCGTTTTCCTTTTCTCTGCTGTCGCCGCCCGCTTCAGTGCAAATGGCGTCGAGACATCACCCATGCCTCTCCCATAACTTTCCAAGCTTTCGTCATCGTCTTCATCGTCATCTTCGTCCATCACGGCTGCATCAGCACGCGCCGCCGATGAAACAGGATTGGCGGCAGACCTGAGAGGGGAGGTGTCGATCGGCACACGGTGGTGCTCGAGCTCGTGTCTTCGTTGCTGCGAAAGGAGAAGGGAGAAAAAAGCCCGTGTCTCTTTTTTTTTATGGTGCTTCTCTTAACTTCCCTACTCTTCGCCTCTGTGCGCTCCCTCTGCCTTCGCCATGTTCCTCTTGCACATCGGGTTCACCGTCGTCTGTCCCCGAGTCGATCTCCCCACTATCTGCTCTCTCACGGCCATGAGTCAGCGCAGCAACGAGGGGCGACGATGACGATTTGTCCACGAGACGGGCGGTCGGAGACAAGCTGGCTCTCTTTCGTGCAAACGAGCTGAGAAATGCGTCCTCATCGGCTGAAGCGCTCTCGTGTGCCTTCGACGAGGGAGCGCCTGAGACAGAGAGGAAAGAAAGACACATACAAATCGATAATTCGGTGCTCACCGGCTGGCCTCTCAGCCCTATGGCGCCGTTCATGGTCACTCAGCCTCTGCGACCGGAAGAAAAGAAGCAGTACTGCGCTTGACGTGTTCTGATGCAAGGCATACCTGCTGTCTCTCCTCTACATACAACTCATCCATCTCGTCAACCCAGTGGTCATACTCATCTGTTGAGCCGCGACGTACACTTTGTTCGGGCTGCGATACGAACGGTCCTGTTGCTCGTAATCCATTGCAAATGGCGGAAGATCCGAAGACTCTTAGCTCGCATTTTTCTAGGGTGCTCCATGAAACCGCTGCTGCTCTGAGGAAAGACCCCTGCTGTGAGGAAAGATCTTCTCGGCATATATGTCCGTTCCAACGATGTCCATCATCCTCTTGGCAGCAGTCGCGGCTTCTCTCGCCCTCCACCCTCAGAAGGCCTCTTCCACAGGCTTCCTGTCGTCAGCACCCCTCAGGAGGTTGAGATCTTCCAACAGCCGGGCTCTGCGCTCTCGTCTGGCCCGCCCCCTCTGCATGCAGGCAGTCGTGACCGAAACCTCCACCGAGAGGAAGCAGGAGATCAGCGCTGAGCGACGCGCCAACAAGGGCGAGTGGCCAACGCCCAAGAATGACAGGATCATGCGGGCTGCGCGTGGCGAGGAGGTTGATGAGGTGCCGGTGTGGATGATGAGGCAAGCGGGGAGGTACCTGCCTGAGTACAGGGAGCTCGTCGCCGAGCACAACTTCCTCAAGGTCTGCCAAGATCCGGAGCTTGCGGCCGAGGTTACCCTGCAGCCTTACCGCCGCTATCCTCTCGACGCAGTCATCATCTTCTCTGACATTCTCGTCATCCCCGTGGCGATGGGTCAGCCGCTGCAGATGATCAAGGGAAGGGGGCCAGTGTTCGATTACGGCTTCGAGAAGCCCGCAGACCTCGAGAAGCTCAACTTTAACCCTGACGTCGAGGAGACCCTCGGCTACGTCGCCGACGCCATCTACACGACCAAGAAGAAGCTCGACAACGAGATCCCGGTCTTCGGCTTCTGCGGCGCGCCGTGGACCATCATGGCCTACATGGTGCAGGGCGAGAGCAGCAAGGACTGGCAGGGGGCCAAGAGGTGGCTCTACGACCACCCGGAGGCCAGTCACAAGCTGCTGGAAGGCATCGCCAGGATCAGTGCGCAATACCTCATCATGCAGTATGATGCCGGCGCGCAGCTACTTCAGGTTTTCGACACCAACGCAGGTGCGACAAGCAGAGCGACGGAGGGGCTGTGGTGGGGTGCGTTCTCGCTCAGTATCTGCCTGCACTGTCTTCATTTCTGTCAGGTGTCTTGTCCCCGCACATGTACGAGGAGTTCGGAGCCAAGTACATGCGAATGATCGCCGACGAGGTCAAGAAGGCGCGGTCCAACGCCATCCTGATCGCCTTCCCGAAGGAGATGCCCCTTGCGTCCTTCGCCGACTCGTCCTACGACGCCATCTCCCTCGGCTGGAGCGCAGATCCCCACGAAATGCGTCAGCGGTTCGGCGACAAGCTGACCTTGCAGGGCAACCTCGACCCACATGCCATGTACTCCGACCCAGAGATCATCAGGAAGCACACGATCGCCATGGTCAAGAAGTTCGGCAAAAAGAGGTACATCGCCAACCTGGGCCACGGGATGCAGCCCGGCATGACCCCAGAGGCGGCGGGCGCGTTTGTGTCCGCCGTTAAGGAGGCGTCACGGGATCTTTGAAGGTGGCGGGGGTCGGGGGAGGGTACGGCGGACGATGCGAGTGGCCTGCAAATGCAGCTATGGTTGAGGGCCGTTTCGGCCATCGGTTGCCTTGCCATAGACTTTTTTGATGTTGCGTGGGGCAGCATTCTCGTGTTCGTGATGATGTGTCTGTGCATCGTGTTCTTGCGATTTTTGAGAAGAGAGAGACTCACCTCGCATCAGCTGCAACTGTGAGGGAGAGAGGGGGGAGGGAGGGTGCTGCCCCTTGGCTGCGCTGCCCTTGATGCATGGCTTCGTGTCAGCTGAAGCTTCTCCTGAGCCTTTTTCCTGTGATGGGAGCAAGGGCATTTTAGACCTGCTGAGCTCAACGGAGATAGAGAGATCGGGGTGATTTTTGGAGACGCTTTTATGACGCTTCGCAACGCTAGAATCCAAGTCCCGTCTTTCTGTTTGCCGCTGAACGAACCCCAACGATTTCGGGGTAGGGACAGGCGTCTCGTCAAACCCATAACCGACCGCAGCGCTTCGGCGGCACGATAACCAACCAGCCAACCAACCAACCAACCAACCGTCTACAAGTGCTCAAGATCTCCGATCTCCGTCAGCTGATCTCCGGCGGCTGAGTCAGAAATAATCCGCCACGCAAGGTGAGATGGGAGAGGAGTGGATGGATGTACGGGTGTGTTCGTGGGTGTGTGATTGTGACTGTTCGTGATGTCATGCAGGTTCCCCTGCCTCCTCCCCTCCCACCACACCGGACGATGCCGTCGACCTCGCACCACCACTCGGCATCGAGAGGTCAGATCAGTCAGACGGACGGAAAACACGCCCCTTCTCTCTCTCTCTCTCTCTCCCTCCCTCCCTCTTTCTCATGTTGGTGTTGATGTGATGTGATACAGTGCTACTTTGAACCCGAGCATGCCTTCTCCTCTTGCAGCCACCAGTCCTGCCGGCAACGGCACATACTCTTCTCTCGCGGCTTCCGGCGTCACTGACCCGTCAGCCCTGAGCCCACATGTGGAGGTGCGCGAGGAGAGATTCTACGGCGATGGGGGAGAGGAAGGACAGATGAGGGGCGTGTTCGCGAAAAAGCACATCTCCACAGGCGACGTGGTACTTGTTGGTGTAGCTGAGACCATCGATGAGAAACGAACAATGCACTCGATTCAGGTACACGCACATGTGGGCTCATCGGTCATTCCCTATCTGACTGCGTGTGTGCTGTGTGCGCGTGTCATCAGTTATCTGAAGTCCCGCCGAGGCATGCGGACATGTACGCCCCTGGGCGATTCCTCAACCACTCGTGTGAGCCCAACACATGGGCGAAGCGCAACAGCTATGGCGCCTACACGTTCATCGCGCGACGGGACATCTCCAAGGACGAACAGGTACAGAGCGGTTCTATGGATTGGCTGACCAGCGTGTGTACACTGATTCCATGTCATCTGTCTGTGTCAGATATTCTTCGATTACGAAACGACGGTGAGGAGTATACGCACATCCATCTATCCATCCATCTTCCCGTAAGTGACTGCCCGATTTGTTGGTGTCCTGCAGGAGTACGCCATCATGGCCATGGATGAGTGCTTTTGTGGTGAGCCGACGTGCCGGAAGATGCTGGCAGGGTTCCACAAGAACGGTCGAACCATACTCGACAAGTGAGGGGAATCACAGGGCGCCGAGTTGATGGGCTTGTGAATGGTATGTCCTGCAGATACCAGCACGAAGTCGCAGACTACCTCCTTGACCATGTGCAACCAGATTCGTGATTCGACGGCGGATCTGTTGGTTGCTAGGGCCGAATTGTTGACTGCTTGGGGACGTGCTGTGCATCGACAGAACTGAAGGGAGCCAATTTGTGGTCTGTGCTATTGTGTCATCATGAGGGTGTCTTTCTCAGAGAGAGGTTGCTGTTTGAGCCAATGGGCTGTTTGCTTTGGCTGCAAACAGTGCTGCACTGGACTGAAAACACCTCTTGGTACCTTACTTCTCGCATCCTCTTCCACGGAAGCCCTCGTCTGACCATGACAGGCTGTGTGCATGAATGTCTGCGTTTGCGAAGGAAGGGTTACGCGAGTGTCGTTAAACACAATAAGATGCCAATTCTTGGCAGGAATGCCGACGCGTGAGGCTCTGAAGGCTGCATCTGAGAGAACGTATTCTTTGCCGTGAGATCTGACACGTCGCAACGCCGATGTCAGACGTCGTCCCGCCGACAGCCGCAGGATATGGCAGGGAAGACACACCATCCCCCTCACCTGCACCGGTGCCCCTTTACCCACCCCCCAGCAACGGCATCCCTCTCCCTCCAGCCGACCGGGGCACATTCGTACCCCACGCCAAGTGTCAACCACGTCGCACCAGCCATTGGATCGTGTCGACGGGCCTGCGGGAGGAGAGGCGGGCAGGAGGAGGTATGAGATCCCACTCAGATAGGAACAGTCACTTACGGGTGCCTCCCTCTCTGATTTCCTCAGATGATCTGATCAAGCTGGCAAATTTCAAGGTCGAGCTCTGCGAGCACTGGCGCCGGGTAGGTCGACCGAAACACTCTTTCATCTCAAATCCCGCTGATCTCTGTCACTTGGCTCAGGGGAGGTGCAATCGAGGCGATGCCTGCACCTACGCGCACGGCAGAGTGGAGCTGCGAGGGAAGAGGGCCAAGATGTGCGAGTGGGTCAACAGAGATGGTAAGCAGGAAGAGAAGACCGTCTGAGTGGAGGGTCGGCATTGGTGTCTGGTGGGCGTGCCCGAGTGCAGGGAGTGGTTGCCGCTACGGGGAGAGCTGCCACAACGCCCACAGCATGGAAGAGCTCGAAGCATGGAGGTAACGGCACAGCCACTGACGCTTCTGATCGTGCTCATTTGGATGCTTTTGCACTGCGTCGGTGCAGATCGTATGAGCGTGAGGGCAGCCGCACTTCTGCGCCTTCAGATCTGACTCTGCAGACGCCGCAATATGCCACACCGTGAGCAGGGCGAGAGATGAACGATTGATGACATGCGTTTCGAATGCCTTTTGTGCTGTTAGGTCTGCGGCGCCCCAAATGCCGAAGCCACCGGGCTGGGTCTCAACTACAGCTTCGTCGGTATATCCCCAGTATCCAGACACGCCAAAGTGAGAGGGCAAGAGACGGGCAACGGTTCACACATTCACGGGGCGCCTTTCTCCGTCTCTGTTGTGTCGTTTCAGCTCTCCCGTCTCCGCAAACCCAGCTTTATGCCGCACCCAGCCCACCTACGGCACCAGCTCCCAAGAGCACTTGGCGCATTTTATGCGGCGGGATAGCACTGGCTCCTCAGACAACGAAGACGAGCAGGTTGCGCACACGGCCCTAAAGGTGGGTTGAATGGACGACAGGAGGCAGTGATTGGCTCACTCACTGTTTGTTGTCCTTCAGCCTTTCTACAGGCCGCCCCCTCCTCGACCGACGACCGGACCTGACGCGCCTTTCTACAAGACCAAAATATGTGAAGCAGATCGACAGGTGACGAGGCATCAATTGTCTTGTTTCCTCCAATGTGAGAATGATCGTTTTGGCTTCTGGTCGTGTCAGGGTGTTTGCCCCCGTGGTGCCGCATGTTCGTTCGCACATGGCCGTCTGGACCTCAGAGGCAACGCGACGATGTGCAAATACATCAACCCTGACGGTACCTAGACAGACAGACAGACAGACAAGTGGCTGTGTTCATCGTGTTTTGCGTGTCTGAGTGCAGGAAGTGGCTGTCGCTACGGAGACAGCTGCCATAATGCCCACACCATGGAAGAGCTCGAAGCGTGGAGGTGAGTCTTGTATGCGAAAGATCAGCCGATCAGCCGATACACGTCTTGTATCCTTCCCCCTTGTATATTCCTCTGTGCACCAGGGCTCGTGATCGTGAGAGGTCAGCGAATGTGTCCACTCCGCCGCCAGTCGCCATTCCGTCCTACACCATGCAGCTTCCGACGCAGGCCAGCACGTGAGCGAGACCATTCTAGCGGAACAACATAGCACATAGCCCTCCTGACGCTAACGTGTGGCGTTCCTTGATCAGGCCCGAGCCTGTGGCTCTGAGAGGCAAGGCGGCGCTCATTGTGGATGGGGCCTACTTCTGCCAGACGTTCTCCGAGCACACCAGGCGCCAGCCGAGAACGAGTGACGTGCTGTCGCTTGTGGGGATGATGCGGCGGAAATGGGCTTACGATGTCAGCGCGTATCACTCGCTATATGTCAGCACCAATTACAAGGAGCTGCGTCTCGGCCCTGAGCGGGAGGCGCTAAAGCAGCTGCACAAGGACCTCAAAGCAGAGGGATTCGGCGTCTGGGAATCCAGGTATGCACACAAACGAGCAGACGGACGGGATGACGAGCGGTGTTCACGGCGTATCTTGCATGCAGGCTGAAACCCAATGGGCAGCAGTCTGGCGCGGATTGCAAGATCACCATGGAGCTGTTGGATAAGGCGCGTGACGATCGGGTGGACGTCATCTTTCTGGTGGCGGGAGACAGCGACTTCGAGCCAGCACTGGACAAGATCAAAACCAACGAGGTGTACCGCAAGGACGTCTACCTGATCACATGGGACAGCCACTTCAGGTCAATACATCGACGCACAAGCAGTGACGAGTGCCACCACGCCTCTCCATTCATTATCCTCTGCCTGTCGGCCTGTTTGTCCCTTGCTGCCTTGATGCGTCAGTCGTGACCTGAGGAGCCGTGTCTACGACATCCTCCTGCTGGATCAGGTCAAGTGGGGAGACACCGGGTAAGCGAAGCTCGCCGGCTGGTGCGTCACTTCTCGCTCGCACTGGCCCTTTTTGTATAGGCAATGAAGGCGTGACTGCCCGTTAGTCGGCTTGTGACGTGTTGGCATCGATATTCGTTAACATCAGTAAGATAGGTACCAGTCGTGTGCGTGTGAAGGTCAATTTGCCGTAGTCTTTAAGGTTACCTTGTGTCTTGATGACTGGTGCTCCTCTTTTCTTCCACATGCATGCGTGTCTGCATCATGACTGTCTGATCTTTGCATACAGAGGAAAAGGAAAGCCGAGGGAGGGAAGATCAGGGTGATAATTCATGAGCACCAGAGTGTGAAGTTTTAAAATGTACGGTGGGAATATATCACTAACTAAGCTCGTTATGCAGGTAGGCAAAGCGAGCCAGCGCGAATGAATGCGCACATGCCATTGGTGTAGGGAGAAGACGTAGGCAAGGCATCCTCGCTGTTTTTCCAGTGTCTCTTCTCTCCTTCCCTCTACACTCGCACGTTGTGCGTGGCCGTGAGTGATGCAGTTCCGCACCCTTTCACGTGCCTTCGTGCTTACGTGCTATGGCGTGATCCGGAGGGGATGATGCGAAGTTTGGTCCGTGGAATTCGATTGACACAGCGGAGACCCTTTCAAGGCCAGTGTGCGATGGCATACTTCTTCGTGTATGCGGGGACTCCAAAAAATGTTTCGCGTCCGTCAGAAGCGTCTGAGGGCTCACACGGCTATGGCCACAAGAACGGGTGTCATGCAGCGTCCAGTCCTAAGAGAGCACGTTGACGAGTAACTTGGCTGTACTTTGCATGCGTTAGACAAGCAGCTCCCCGGACGGAAGGGTCGAGGCGATGGTCACTCGGAAGAGATCTGACATTCCCACGGTCCACTCGGTTGCTGCAGCTCTTCCATTTGAATCAATTGGTGGCGAAAAGACGCAAACAACGAACACGGGTGCCATTCTTGCAAGAAACGGGAGAGCATTATTGCAGCTGGACCATGAGCTGGCACTGTAAGCGGCAGTAAAGTGTGCCTATGGACGACTCATTGACCGAAGGACAGCTTTATGTTCCTTACATGGCGTCAGGCAGCCAGCAAAGACCAAGCCTCACGGGCGCTGTTGCTCAAGCCTTCGGGCAGCCAGTGAGCGGAATGCCACAGTGATGTCAAGTACAGAAGAAATATCAGGGGCACCAGAAGGGCAGAGACAGCCTAGCCATTGCGAATACATCGTCCAGTATCGACTGCCAAGGCCGCCATAAATCAAAAAGAGTGACGCGAAGTCCGTCAGGCTCCTTCTTCGCTGGGACTACATTCACCATAAATTCACATTGCTTTTGGATGTATGGAGGAAGCGAAGAGCGACAACAAAACTGGATCTTCATTCTCAGGATCGAGCCGCAGGCCCAGCAAGCAGTGGCAGACAGGGCTCTGAGGCCGAGTCGTCCGCCCCGTCGGCCGAGTCCTCTTCGTCCTCATCTGAGGTCGACGCCGAGCAGTTCAGCAGACTCAGGGCCTTGACGACGGCTCAACGATTCGCAAGGTAGTACAGAATGTAGACAAGAGCTGGGCTGAGACGAGAAGTGAGAAATGACCCGTTTTGTGAGCAGTCTCTTGAGCGTCCAAGCGACAGCCATCGATGACGAAACCCGCCGTCGGACAATAGGAACGGCAGGGAGAGACGTGCAACGAATGATGCGAGAAGTGAGGGCCTTCAAGAGCGCTGCCAGTGACAAGGAAGCCAAGTCAGAGAGGAAGCTCGTGCCGTTCAGCAAGGAGGAAGGCACCGAGGCAACGAAAGAAGGCAGGGCGGCATCGATGCTCAAGAAAGCGATCTCCAAGAAGAACGGGGAGGAGAGCGCCGTCTCAGCCAGCTCTGCAGCGGAGACATCGGAGAGCAGCGACAGTCAAGAAGCCGACGCTGGCAAAGTCGAGACGCAAAAAGACATGTCTCCTACGGAGCGTCTTGGCAGGTCAGCGAGAGTGTGGAGAAGCGCTTGAGCTTTGCCCATGGTCACGCCTGGTTTGTCTCTACAGACTGTACAGTGTCCACGCTTCTGCAATCTCTCAAGAACGACGGACTTTCAGTCAGGCAGGGACCGACGTGCAGAGGCTGCTTCGAGGTGCTGCAGCGTTCAGAGCTGCAGGAAAGAGACGAGCCACCGCACCGTCTGCCCCTCCGCAAGCTGACGAGGACCAGTCGCGAGAAGCTGCTTCAGCCAAGGCTTCGTCAGTTTTTCCAAAGAAGGGCTTGCCACAAGGCATTGCATCGAGGCTGAGATTGAAGGCGAAGAGTGCGGCACAGAGCGATAAAGAAGGTGGCGAGATATCGGAGGTCGCAAGCAGCTCAAGCTCGTCTGAAGTCAAGGCCGAGGACTTCGAAAAGCAGGAAGACGTGACGACCACCGAGAGAATGGCCGAGTAAGAGAATGCACACCCAGCCTACCTCGACCCCGAAGCAATGGAGTGTATGTACCTGGTGTGCGTGTCTTTTTATCCCCTGCAGCCTACTGAGAGCCCAAGCTGGAGGTCAGTACAGGCTGCGATGTCTGCATCGGTTTCTTTTTCATGTATCCTGTGGATGCTTAGCAATCGCGGAAGAGCGAGGCAGAAGCATGGGCACGGCAGGCCGCGACGTGCAGCGAATGCTGCGAGCGGTAAGTGCCTTTCGCATGAGCTCTCCAGCCCCTCCTCAGCCTTCTCGTGACGGCGAAGGAGAAGCGAAGCAACGAGAGGGAGACAGAACACGCGGAGATTCGTCGTCAGCTCAGCGATTCATCAGGTGAAACCGTACCAATCGATTCACAGCGAGGTATCTGTTCGTACCATTTTCCTCACGGCCTGGCCGTATGTTCCATGCAGTATGTATCGAGCCGAGCGCAAGAGTGAATGACCGGAATATGTCTCAGTATTTATTCCTTCCGAGAAGGCTTCTCTCTTTTCTCCCTGCCGTTCATGTCCGTGTCTCCCTCCCAATGCTCATCATTGAGTCGAGAACGAATTTGCCTGCGTGCAATTGGGTTTGAGGCGTCACACTGTGGCTGTAGAGATGGGATTTGGTTCTGTGCGGGATGGTCGGTCATTGTGTTCAAGTGTTACGAGACTCGTGTAACCCAAGGGCCTATGGAGATCGCGCACAAACGTGGACCATACATATACATAGGAACATTCACACGGTCTGTCTACCCTGCCACTCAACACTGACGATGTGGTGCTGACCTTTGAGGGCGCTGACGGCGGCCAGTCGTGTGCTGTCTATGACTCCGCCGCGCCAGTCAATCAATAAATTGATATACCCCCCATGATTGAGTTGGTGATTTCTCGGCTGTTTCTCCTCCTTTTCGGATGAGCAAGCGTGTATCGGACTACACCCAACCCCCTCCACCTGCCCTCATCCCGCGAGACGGCGGCGGGCCCCCCTGTTGCGCATGCAACGAGAAAGGGACGTCTGCGCTGTCCACATGCAGCCGACGATGTGACTGCTGGAATCACAAGCGCCTCTGCACTAACTGTGT